TTCCTTCCTTCCTTCCTTCCTTCCTTCCTTCCTTCCTTCCTTCCTTCCTCCCTCCCTCCCTCCCTCCTTCTCTCCTTCCCTTCTTTATTTCTTATCATAGCATACTACTTGAGGTAATAGTTCCCCCTTCAGGACAGATTTTAAAGACTCTGCTTACGGTTTGTCTTTGGATTCATTACCAAAGGACCTCTATACAGCTTGTGTGTGTGTGTGTGTGTGTGTGTGTGTGTGTGTGTGTGTGTGTGTGTGTGCCCATACATGCACATGTGTGTAAACTTGTCATTTTCTCACTGAGTTATCTGGAATGAATCTTTATTTGCTTCCCTTCCATGACATTGAACCTGGACCCTTATTGCTACGGATGCTGACAAGGAACAGTCACAACTCAAAAACTGAGGGCTGGGAGTAGGGGACTGGAAAGATGGCTCAGTGTTTAGGAGAAGAATACTTGATACTCTGGCAGAAGACCCAAGTTTAGCTCCCAGCATCTACATAGTGGCTCACAATCATCTGTTACTCCAGTTCCAGCGAATCTGACACCACTCCTGACTGCCACAGGCTCCTGCACACACATGGTGCACAGACATACACTCAAGCACATTCAGTATCCCCCCCTTGTCCCAACACACTCACACACTCTAAGACAGACTAAAAAAAAAAAACCACCACCACCACCACCAAAACGTTAAGGAAGGAAAGTGACTTGCTCCCATGGAGGCTGCCTTTTAAGGATGGTCAGGGTCCTGTGTTGAACAACCCAACAGTCTAGTCCTAGGCCACTTTTCGCTTTGAGCAAAGAACAAACCCATCTTTCTGTATTGGGAACTGCCATTGAACCCTAGCTTTGAAGCTACCATGCTTCCATCTCACAAACATTTTGCAGAATGCTGTTTGTTCTAAACCCAAGAGATATTTTCTCTCCCATGCCAAAGCTGTCATCACCTTGTCTTGGGTAAGTTATGTCTCTGAGAGAGAGAAAAGACTTGAAACTCACAAGAGTTTTTCTCTTATTTTTTTCTGCTGACAAGAAACAGTTTGATTTACTGCTGGTGAAACACGGGGAACGGGGAAGGTGGGCATGGCCTGGCATTCTTAGGTGACACACTGTAAGATCAGGCTGTGTCCAGGGCTTCAAACAAAAGTTCTTGCCCTGTTCTAACCCCTCATTCTTTCTCCCACCCTTCCACACTTCTCAATTTTTTTCTCTCCTTATACCTTTTTGAGACAGGGTTTGTCATTGCCCAGGCTGGCTTCAAACTCACTGTGTACCTGAGGCTGAACTGAACTCCGGCTCCCCCTACCTCCATCTTCCAAGTGTTGGGGCCACAGGTTTTAATCATCATACCAAGTTTTCCTTGCCTTTCTACTTCCTGTGCCGTTCCTTCTTCCCCTGTGATGACAGGTCACAATGGCATCCTTGTCTCTGAGAAGGATGGTCACCCCCCACAAAGCAACGAAGTTAAACCATCTGTGTTCAACATTGAAAGTCGCATATCTGAAGGCATTCCACAGCCCTTGGCAAATTAAGGATAGTCACCATACTTACGACACCTTCCTATACTGGAAACCAGTAAATGCTTTAGATAGATATCTGAGTCCCTTTCTCTCTTTTCACAAAAAACCTGAAGAAAGGAACTAGGGACAAGATGACATGGTGATAGGCCAAATGCGAATTCATGAGACAAGACTGAATTCATTCTATCTGGAGAGCTGCTAGAACAGCATTAGTTCCACCCATGGCTTCCAGGAACCCAGACAATCCAGACAGCATAAGGGTGGAATATGCAGAAGACATACAGCGGTCCAGGCTACAAGGAGACCCAAACATGCCCTCTTCCTAAAAAGTCCTCTTTCAGGAAGGCTGCTGCTGATTTGAGATGGGGAGAGGAGGCTGTGGTCCAGTTACTCTGGTCAGATGAACACTGGCCATCACTTGGATGTTTAATGAAGTCTGTCTCCATGCCAGGAGCAAATGGATTCGCTGTGTTTTCTCTCCATTTGACTTTGCAGTCTATAGAAATGCCCACTTGCGAAGATCCCAGCCCATCTTGCTGGGAGCCAGAATGATCCAAGGCTCAGAGATCCTGATGCAAGGAAAAAGGGCATGTTAGTTCTTTCCCTTGCCCAGGAGCAGACTTGACAAGGCCCAGTCTGAGGCCTGGGCCTCGAAGGAGTTAAGGTTTCAGTTCCTGGGAACCCAGTTTCCCCTCTGAAGGGCTGTGGTTATCAGTCCTAAGGCAGCTGCAGGTGTGATAGCCTGTGTTTTCTCGTCAACATTGACTGATTAAGCTTTCTACCGACCTTGGCCATTCTCCCTCAGAAAATAGGATACAAAAGATGCTTTACTTCTTAAATAAGCTTGCTTGGCATAAGACACAGCCTGTGCAAATCCTCTCGGTCCTGGTTTTCCTATCTTCTCTTCCGGCCGTCCCACTTAGAAAAGGCTGTGGCTGAAGAACAACCTGCTGGTCCAGGTCACCAGCCCTCTCCATTAGCAACTAGGAACTAAAAGAAATAAAACCTACAATGTATTGGCGAAAACAAATGAACAAAACCAACTTCCGGATTTCAGCTTTGCCTCTCAGTCACAATTCCACTTCCTGCTTGCTCTGCCCTGAAACAACTCTCTGGGAAATGGGGTAGGGCAGGGGCATTGTGGGTAGGTGAGGGAGGGGACTCAGTGAGAGACCAGAGAGTGGAAACAACCAAATTCCCTTTGATACAGTCTTCAAGTGAGAACGAAAATGTCATCTTGGTACTGTGCCGTCCAGCGATTTCTCTTTGGCATTGTGGCTCTCTTAGGTGAGCGAAGGAAGGTGCTTTTCCTTCCCTCTTTACTTCAGTTGGCTGTGGTCAAAAGCTGCCCTTGGAGGAAAACAAGTGTTATTTGCCCCTTTTGGCCAAAAGTGGACTCTCTGTATACAACCTAGGAAACCAAGACTAAGAATTGGATTTGAATGTAGACAGTACAGGGACAGACTTGAAGATCTGGGTTCAGGCACACTGTTGCTCTGATCTGAGCAGAGCTTGCCTCACTTATTCTACAAAATGCAGATGGTCTCTGAGCTGGCTGGATCTGCGTGAATGTCCCAACATGGGCCACCAAAAGCCACTGTTACAAGTTTTGCTTAAGACATGCTTTGCCTGTGCTGTTAATTATGTAATATCTTCATTTCACTTGCAGAAATTTAGTTTAGAAGGAAACACTTTATCAGACCCAAAATAGAAAATCAGCTTTATTTGCTGTAAATAGAAAGCAGCCATAGAGATAAATAAAAATACCACCAAGCTGTTACATTCTAACCAGATGTCAATACTCAGAGCATGTCCCCTGCCTCTTCATGTCCCAGGAAGACAAACATGTGCTGGTAGAGTCTCCCTATCTCTTCTCTGGGAGTTGGAAATATCAAAAGAATCTAAACTGAATCCCAATCTATAGGAATTCATCCATTTAGTACAAATTACATTCCATGTTTTTGGAAACAAAGATAGAAGGGAAACAAATTGCTTACTATTTTTACTAGCGTTATACTTATTCCCGGTTGCGTCTCCTTTACTCTAGCTCCTTCTGAACTTAATGAATAGTTAGACAACAGCAAGAGAAGCTAACTAACAAACGCCTCTCCACTGGGCATTTGGTTAAGTGCTTTTCATGGATTTTCTCGTGAAAACCTTTACTGCAAGTACCAAAATTACTCCCACTAAAAATGAGCAAATCTCAGCAGAGAAAACATCTGGTGACAAACCTAACCAGTATGGATGTGGAATGGAGGCCCAGGCCTCCCGACACTGTAGTCCACCATCTTCAACACTCCCAATGGCCTTCAATGGGAGGACGCATTGAAGTACTGGGCTGTGCTAGGAGAGAACAGGGGACAGCTCTTTGTTCACATGGCCTACGTCCCTCCCATAGCACCTTGGGACCCAGAGCTGTGCCTGTTCTGGGCTGAGCTCTGCCGTTCCCTTGCTCTATTGTTTTTTTCCCTGGACATCGTTTCTATAATAAAATTAAATGAGGGAGGTATTCTGGTCCAGGGATGAGCAGCAGGAAGCCTCTCTAGTACTCGGAGCCTGAGTTACTGAGTAGCCAGCAGCAGACTGAAGCAAATGGTTGAACCCTGACTATTGCAAACCTTCATCAAGGCCCCCTGCAGAAGGCAATCTGAATTCTCCATCCTTTGTGGTTGAACGTAAACTATTTGGATGCAAGCCTGATTTTCTTAGTATCTGCTCGCCACTATGGGCACTTTACGGTTTATCTGCCCTTTCACAAGCTCTCAGAACCTCACAACAGCTTGTGCTGTGATTACCGGTTCATTTTTTATAGACAAGACTTGGTCACAGCAAGTGACTTGCCCAAGGAAATGCGGCAAATGGATGGAAACACATTAGGTCCTCCTATCCTGGCACAGTGATTTTTTTTTCCCCTCCTACGTAAATTATGGTTTATATAAATGATGCATTTATGTAGACTATTCCCACTATAAAGAAAAAGCCCCATAACACTGATAAGGTAAATACTCTTGACCCCAGTTCAGTGCCATTCCATTCCCTAGGTGGGTGGGGGTGGGGACTATCTCTTGGCAAACGTAGTTCAGTAATTTGTGGTTGTGTGCTGTTTACGACTAAGGTGATGCTGTCTGTGATCCGCTATTTCCCTCTCAAAAGTCAGCCCTGCACATCATTTCACACCAATGCACATGAGTTTCATGCTGCCAGTCTTGCAGAGGGGGAGCTTCAGTAGCTGACTGCACCCAATGTCTTCCACGAGGTCAGCTGGGCTGGTTTCAGGATGAAGTGGCAGCTGAGACACAGCCGTCCTGTTGGCAAGAGCCAGCCTCACAATGGGGCTCACCTGACTTCCTTCCCCTTGGAAGGATTCTTTGGAGTCAGATAAACACCTGCTTTTGACCAAGGTCTCTATCTATACTGCTAAATTGGATGTGAACAAGCTTAGGAGGCATGGTAACCAACTCAAGATGCTAGTGTCAGGTGTGGCCTCCTCTCCAAGGCCTGCCTAGTTCTCAAAGATCGCTATCCCAGGATATGGTCTAAGGGCATTAAGAAAATGTTAAGGAATAAAACATAAAAATAAACTGACAAAAACCACACACACACACACACAAAACCAGAAAACCAAGCAAACCTGACTTTTATAATAAACCTGGGATTTTACTGGGCGCTCCCGCCGAACCCTCACCCCTGCCTGGAGAGGGTGGGTAACTATTATCACTTTACAAATGACCAAATTACAAATGACCAAAAGAGAGGTTCCAGCTCCACCACAGAGGACTGTCTCCTGGTCAGAGCTGTTGTCTGAAGAAGTCGGAATCTGAATCCAGGACTTCTAACTCTACGTATTAAGTCACCTGAAGACTCAGTACCGGCTATTGTTTAAAGTATTAGATCCATACACTGGGCCTGGCAGCATGAGATACACGGTTCTTTCTGATACTGACACTCAGTCAGAGGTCATCTGTGAACTATTTAAGGTCTTTCAACAGCAGACCTTTGTACCACAAAGCTGGTGACATAACTGGGTGGATGGAAAACTCAGCTGTCCACCAGGTGTTGGTAAACTGGCCAAGATGTAGTCTGTAAACCTTCTGAATGGTTTTTACTTTTTAGTATGTCTCAGTTAAAATCCAAGAGTACTATTTTGTGATGTGAATATTATGTGAAATTCAGTTTTTTGTCTATAAATAAAGTTTTGTCACAATATGGCCATCTCTGTGTGCTGTTCATGGCTTTCACACATCAGAGAAGGTATATGGCTCACTGAACCATTAACTCTCTAGCCCACACACTTGCTAACCTTGCTGTAAGACAGTCACTCCTAGCTACTTGTTCATATTTACCAAGTGTCAGAGAGTGGGTGGCTTCCACTCTTGTGTTTTCGGTTTGTCTACCTTCAGCATCTTTATTACTGATCTGAGGGCCCCTTTGTATTCAAGGAGTGTGTGATGACTGGCAAGCTGAGTAGAGTTAAAGAGCAGCGGCCTCTTGTGGCCGATGTAAACACTGTGTATCTGAGCGCCTCGCTAGAGCGAGGGGTTGGTTCTTGCTGAGAACTGTAGGTTATTCTGCATGTGTTTCTTACAGAGCCGTTACAACCCGAGCAGGGAACTAAAAAGTTAAAAAACAATGCAATGACCCCTGAATTCGGGTGAGTTACGTACCTCGATCTGTGGGGATGTTTTACCACCTCTGATGACTGCATGGAGTGGGGGATGGGATGAGGTGAGGGGGGGCAGGAGAAGGGGAGGAAGGTGTACTTGGGCTAGTACACAAAATTTGCTAAAAAAGAAACCCCAATGCAACCAAAAGATGAACTATTCAATTATATTTAAGATGTTTAAAAACCTTGCATGGTAAGAATTTTAAAAGCTTTGAAGTAAAGACACGGGCACCTATCATCCAGGAGTTCAGTGTTAGGGAAGCTCACCAGCACTCTAGCCTGTCTGTCTACACAGCTGGGATCATAAACCACACTCACGTCCTATCCCGCAAACACTAAGTCCTGATCATGGATGACTTATTTTTTTTTTCTCCCTTTCTTGGCTTCAATTAATCCCCGGGAAAAGGAAGGGGCTGAACAAATTCTGAAAGACCTGACCATTTTGAGACCATAATTTCTTTGACTTTAAGCCTTTGGCTCCTGAAGCCTGTAACGGTCACTTATTTATCAGATGGCAAACACTGCCGCAGGAGGCAGCCTCCAGCCACGAGAGAAAGGCGGTTCATCTGAACTAGCCAGTGGCCCATTTCCCCAGCATTCTGCCGCAGCTCTGCAGCCCGCAGCTCTGCGTGTGCTACGCTGCTCATGGCCGGATCAGAAAGTGGACACCGACCCACATGGCTTCTCTGTGTAGCACCGGTTTCAAGTCCATGGCAACAATAAAGCTTTTACTAAATGTTTATTTTTATGTTCAAGATAAAGCATATACACAATTGAATGCGGAAATAAATAACTAGAAATGTTCTGAAAACTTTCTATTTGCCCTTCAAATTCATTTTTTAAGTTTGTGGATCTTTTCATTTAAAGAAATATGCCAAATGTAAACACTAAGAAGAAAAGAAGCCCACCACAGTACAGAGACAGCTTCCTCTGACTGAGGGTTAGGTGGCATTATAATAACAGAACACACAGGACACAGCACTTTAGCACTGACGCAGACACTCTGCTGAAGAAGAAAAGGCACAGACTGAAGGGACAATGGCGAGTAGCAGAGAAAACGGGCTCAGTCACACAGCACTGAGAACTAAGTCAGGAAAAGGGAACAAAATCAACTGTCAATTATCTGCCTTCATTCAAATGACTTCTTTAAATTAAGATGTATAAACATAAGATATAAAGATGTTACTTTTGGAAGTGTCTTTGTATATTTCTTCTATATATAAATCTTTGTATACAATTTCCATGTTCCTTATATATTTCCTATATAACAAACTGAGCCAGGGCCTCCCAATTCCAAGCCCGAAGTTCCTGTGTAAGTTCCTGGTCAAGTTCTTCTTGATCGTTCTGAGGCAGAAAAGCCAGGGAAGGTCTCTTTAAATGTAGTCGTCTTCAACTGGCTCTCCATTGACATCACAGTAGTGGATAAAAATGGCCACCACTCGCTGAAATACGCCCCTTTTCATCTGACGCATCTCTGAGATCTCCTCTCCTATTGTTTCCATACAAATATCTGCAGACAGCTGTCCTTTCCTTCGAGGAGCATAGATGGTACCTGGGAAACGGCAAAGAGACAAGAAAGACTTAGAATGAATCACCGGGTCCATTTCCTGTACCACACCGTAGCTGACGCAAGGACAACTCATAGAATTTGTTAGAGTTTTATATCAGAGCTAATGTCTAAGGTAGCAGACATGATCAAAGTCCCCAGGTAAAAATAATGCATCAAGGAGTAAATTATGCTAAGTACAATTTCATAGAATTTGTCAGAGTTTTATATCAGAGCTAATGTCTAAGGTAGCAGACATGATCAAAGTCCCCAGGTAAAAATAATGCATCAAGGAGTAAATTATGCTAAGTACAACTAAAAAACTCACTTCTTTATACATATTTATTTCAAAGTTTTATCTATACATGAATATACAAATAATTTAAAACTTAGAAAAAAATTATTAAAAGCCTCCCCCCAAATTTCTATACTTAAATCACAATAAGCTGCAGTGACACAAGGCTTCCATTAGCAGGCAACTAACTAGTATAACTGGCCAATCTCAACTACCGTGTTTGTAAATTCTTCAGTAAAGATCAATGAGTTTGTCAGGTGCAGTTGCACGTGCTGAACATAATCCTAGCAACTTGGATTAGGTGTTCAAGGCCAGACTCACTACACAGACAACTAGAGGCTAGCTTGGGTTACATGAGAATCTTTCTTAAAAAGCAAACTTCGAAGTGGCTTTGTAAGGCTGCTGTATTTTTCATTAGATCCAGAGTTAAATCTCCAGCGTATGTTCATATGTACCATAAAACAAAACAACCAAATGCATAGGAAACCCAAAGGTATTCGGGATTCCCATCGTGTGGACACTGTGCATCTGTTGCTATTAACTATTTAACACACTAAGACAGACTCAAGCTAGAGAGCACAAGTTAGATCAGGCCATAATTACTCTCTTCATCATCTTCAAAATCGTATCTGGCGAAGCTGTTGGGCTCTGCTGCTCGTAGTGACCTCAGCCAAGGGAAGTCAGAAATCATGGAATATGGTGCTCCATCCACAACACCTGAAATAAGCAGACAGCTATCAAAGTCCTGTTTGCATAGAAACGGTGATAGCAGCAAACTAGACTTCAGCAGTTACAGCCGGGTACAGAGACTAAGCCAGTTGCCTTCAAAGGCATTTCCAACCACTACAATTCTTAATTTTGATCTACCTTTTGTGTGTCAACAGATTCTGGTTATTCTAGGGGTGGTAAAGACACACACAGACAGACGAATATTTATCCAGCCTCTGCTTCTTGCAGAGATTCAAACCCAATCTGATGAATTCTAAGGCGCTCCATGTCTCCCCTAAGGCATGTCCCTCCCATCTAGTTCACAGCTTGAAATTTAACTCCGCAATCTAGGTAAGTTCTTACCCTCTAAAGTGTAAATTTCTCTCCCCCAGGGGTACTTAGGATACTTCTTTAAATCTTCTTCAGTCCGAGTGGCTTCCAGGAAGAATTCATATTTAATGAGTTCTCTGGAGGCAATAGGAGAAAAATCAGGTAAATAAACAGCTGAAAAAGAATGCTGGGCAGAAAGCAACTGTCTGGTCCATTCAAGTTTAGACTCTACCAACAGCCTCTCTGTCACCACCAACGCCTCCACACACAGCAGTCCGACCTACATTCACGGGAGTCTCTGGGCGAATCACCTTGTATATTGAGGGTACTTAGTACACTGTTTATAAGTTTAAAAACAATTTTCTGTAAAGTCTCAAGACTGTCATTAACTTGAATTTTTGGCATCCTCCATGTCTGGAGAAATAACACGTGTATGCGGTTTCTTAGGATTTTTTTTTCTCTAAGTTTGAATAAAATCTTACATAAATACATGCATGATTTTAAGTTTGAAATTTTTTTTCAAGTTTTTTTAACACATTTATGTCATGACATGTCTACTTAAAAAGTTCAATTCGAATCATTTAAAATAAATTAGAATTTGCTCCTAGGAGCACCCAATAGGAAAAATATAAAAAAAGACTTTCAGGGCCACAGAGTCACTTACTGATTGATATTGGCTATAGTGTCCATCCAGTTGCGAATGCGCACCTTGTTCCGCACGTTAGGAGGATTACTGAACTCATGGATGATACAAATGTGATAGGGGTAGGGGCCACTAAACAGCTTCTGCTCCAAAGTTAGTGTATCTACCTGTGGAAGACATCAGAAAAAGGTCTGTGGACTAATAGTAAGTCGGTGACATCTGAAGACCTTGAAAAGCTTCAGTTTTGAAATGCCTGGCTGATTTGAAAATCAAATAATGGCTCTGTCTCAGATCACAGCTTGCCATGTATGAATTAAGTCTTAGAGAATTCTCTGCACAGTGGACTCAGCAATTTTTCCCTCATTGCTGTGTGAGAACTTGGTAAGTCAGAGAGCTGACTCAGGTGATCGCCGGAGGCTGCCCTTCACAGGTGTAACTCCAGGCTGCTTTACAGAACCGAGAACAACTGTCCTACTTAGGACAATCGCTAAGTTTGAGGGACAACGCATTTCTTTCCTCTCCTCGTTATAGACTCTGTGCCGACAGTGCATTCTCGTGGATGCCCTTCTGCATCTCGAGCTTTCATGGAATTTAACTCCTTCACAGAAAGGAAAACTTGCTTAAGGAAGAAAAACATCAGTAGTCAGTTTTGAGTATTAATACACTTATGAATTTGATGAACTAATTTTAGGAGCCTAAATCTTAGAGTCCAAGAGTTGTTTAATATTTCATTTTGGCAACAAGCATCATTCCTGCATACACACTTAACTTCCAATAAAAATTACCGCTATCATACTATTGCCTAAGGCACACCAGCAACTGTCCCAGTATATCATACATGTTAGCTAAAACAGCACAAAAACTTAAGTATAATATGATTCTAATTTTACACATAACAAATTAAGAGACAGATGTTAAAGAACTTGCTCCATGCCAAAGGAGAATCTGAACCCGGAAGTCTGTGATCTGAGTGCATGCTCTTAGTCAATAGGTCACTTCCAGCCTGCCATGTAGCTGCTAGGAGTCCCTAAAGAGTTAGCAGCAAAGCATTAACACAAAATATTGGCAAGACAATCTGGCTTGTTTATAAAAGCTCAATAGATTTTAAAGAATAATTATTGAGGGTTGAACAAAATGGATTTTGTAAACAAATATTAGTACAAGGTGCATTTTATCATAAAAAAGCAGAGCTCATTACCTGCTGCATTGGACGCAGGTAGATGATGCGGTTCCTCTCTGGTGGCATCTTCAGTATTTGGTCTAGGACCTGATCCATATTTAGTTTCTTGCACTGTGCATAGTCAAATCGGTTTACAATCGGTGCATTTTCTACTTTTAAATGTTTCAGTACCCTGCACCTGGTAGCTATAAAATAAAACAATAAGTGCTATAGATAATTCACACAAGAGTGCAAAGCATAGAGTCCAGGAAGCTTCTCTGGGAAACCCTGGCACAGGCCCTGTGTTTGTGAACACAGGCACTATGCTGGTCAAATACAATAACAGCTAAGAGTTGACACTGTGACTCAATTCAGAAGCTGGCTATCCTCATGTCAGAGAGACAGCAAGGTCCCTCTTCCTTCTAATACTGTTCATTAAAGAAATAAAGTCCTAGAAGTTGACCTGCCCAGGAGACATTTAATACTGAAGAACTACTGAATGGCATAACTATATAGTTAAAGGTCATGCCTAGAACAATTCACAAATATTACTTTGTATTTAATGATAAAAACTGAACAGAGTTATTTATAATTCCTGTCACAAATAGAGAAACAGATCTTGAGAAAAGGCACAGCACTATGTGGATTCTGAAGTCTTTGGCTAGGGATGTCAGCACTGTGCAAAGATCTACTGGAAACATTACCTAAAATGTGATTCTTCTCGTCCAGCATCAAGTCAGAGGGAGAAGAGTCTGCTCCTCACCTCACAAACGTCACTACACTGATATACCAACTACACCCCATCCCTTACCCTTCCCTGCTTTAAATCACGTAGTTCAACTGGAGAGAGGATTAAATGGATGCAACTGTGCAACCACAAAGCTGATTTGCCCGACTTTTTAAACTTTTCATAAAGATCTACAAGATCTTCAACACAAACACCTTCATCTTAAAGAGTACTCTGCACTATAACTTCCATGTTTAACTACTGCCAGGGTCCTGCCTTCAGACTCACTGTGTCCTCTGTTACATAGAAAAAGGAGGAATTAGACAGAAATAAACGAGAGAGTGAACCAGATGATGATATGGAGCTGATGGAACTGTGCTGTAAACCAGAGTGAAGCTTAGATCTAATCTCATTTAGGCATCCCATTTGCCATTAACTTAGTTGCTGTCTAGAGGCTGAGCTACTTTTCTAAGACCCTGTGTCTCAGACACACTGAACTACATGCCTTGCTTCAAGGGCAGAAGGTGGACCCGAGGCCATATAATCTATCTATATCTGCAGGCTGAGGAGGTGCAGGAGAATCACGGGGTAAAGCACAGTAGTAAGGCCAGAGGCACTCTCTAAGAAGTGCTTCGTTACTGTGAGAGGTTGAGAGAGCAGAGGGGAGTGTTTGGAGGCTGTATTAGAAGCCCAGAGGCAGAGGGTGGACTCCTGAGCAAGTTAGGAAGGGCAAGCCTATTGTATACCTTCTGAGATTTCTATTTCAGGAAGAAATTCCAAATGGAGGTAGTGACTTGATCAGATATTCTATGGCATAAACCTTGTTGGTTGAAATAGAAAAATATTCAAATTTCTGCAGCATGAACAGAGTCTGACACCTTACAGAAATCAGGAGAGAGTCATATCCATCCTTTTTCTATTCTACTTTGATGACATGTCTGGAAGGTGCCTTTTAATGGAAATAATGGGATTTCTTTGTTTATCATCTGTAGCATAAATAATAAAAACTCAGAGTCAGATACTGGGGTTCAATGTGAAAATCAGAAAGGCAAGAAAGCCTCTCTCTCTCCTTCCATTTTATATTTCCTCTAGTGCTGGGATTAAAGGCATGACTCCCTCCCTAGTACTGAGATTAAAGGTGTGAGTCACCACCACCTGGATTTGTTTTTGCATTGATCTTGTGTAGCCCAGGGTGGCCTTGAATTCACAGAAATCCATCTGCCTCTGTCTCCCAAATCCTGGGATTGAAGGTGTGTTGCCACTATTGCCTGAACTCTAGTGGCTTAGCTGGGCCCTTCTGATCTTTAGGCAAGCTTTATTTATTAAAACATAAATAAAATATCACTATAATCACCAGTACTACAGGAAACAGAAAATATAACTAAACTAATTTAACAATTTTTCTGAAATACTAATGTAACAGGAAGTGGCATCTGCTAGATGTTTCCTTTAAGACGGATTCTTGCTCCGTGGTCCAGGCTGGCACTGGGTTCATGGCAATCCTGTTTCAGCCTCTTAAGTATTAAGATTACAAATTTGAGTCATGCCCAGTTGTATAAGGTATCTTGTAGCAGTCATACTCTGTATTGTGCAACTACATGTATATATATATAAATATATATATAGATATATATCTATATAAATATATATGAATGCACACACACAATAAACGTACACACCCCACTGCACTTAACTATAACAAAGGCCAAAGGCCATGTGACTTAAGCAAAATTATACACACTTTACACACAGAAGAAGATGAACATACAACATGCAAATCACTCAAGGCAGGAACAAGGCAGATATTGAACTTGACTTTTTTTTTTTTTTAATTTAGGGTCTCACTATGTAGCCTTGACTAGCCTGGAACTTGCTATGAAGACTAGACTAGCCTCAAACTCAGAATACTGCCTACTTTTTCCTCCTAAGTGTTTTGGATTGACACCACACCCAGCCTAGAATATTTTTTTCCTTTTAAATGGAATATACTAGGAAAAAATATAAATAGGAAACAAAACCATTATAAATGGGTATAATATACACTTAAAACTTTAAAACTTTACAGAGAACAGCCTAAATTTGAGACAGACATGTAAGGAAGGACATGAAAAGTATATAGGAGTATATAAAATAAATGAATGGCGATGACAGAAACAGAGGGCATGTGCAGTGGGACTGGAGAATCCTCCAGCCTCAGTCTGAGTATCTGGGGTTGCAGCCTGCACCAACTGGTCTGGCTTTAGTTCTATAAAGGATGCATGATGCTCTTATACAATATAACCCAAACACATACCATGGATGAACATCATCTTGGGGCAATCTTTCAGCACAAGATCTGTGATTCCACAATTGGTCATTGTGACTCCAACAAGATTTTTAGATTTTAATACAAGAACCTATAATGATAAATGTTTAAAATTTACAAGTGAGTATATCTTCCCCTGGGCTTTGTTTTCTTAAAAGGTAAATTTTTCAACATCAGACCCTAGAAGCTGCTAACAAAATTTTCTCTTTAGAATATGGAAAGTAGATAAAGATAGAAACTTCAGTTTCATTGCATGAACTGGGCTGGGCAGTTCTTTTATACCTGCACATGGTCATCCTCAATCACAGGATCACTGGTACTGGTAGACTTATCTGCAGTTCGCTTCCGCTTCACGGAATGACATGGCTTTGTTTTGGCAACTTCTATAAAAGGAAAAACAAACCCTCAAATTTTATCCTTATTTCCTCCCGGAGCATGTTCAATCACATATGAAAACTCCATCATAACTCCAAAATTCAACTTGGTTGCTGAAATTGTTAGGGGGTGTTTCCAAGACTGCTCAAGTCATGATCACGACTCCTACCTGAACCAGCTCATCCCACACACAACCCCCAAATCCCATTCATATTCCCAGCTTAAAACTCATGATAGATACTCTCGGAGGATTAACTCAAGACTTCCCTACTAAAATCCTTTCAATGACTGCTGCTTATTGTGTATGTTTCCATTCCTGCCACTGGGGGTGAAGGTGAGACAAACGCCTAAACGCCCGCTAGTATTCCGCTCTGCACAATTGCTATCTCCCATACCTGTGGCTGAAGCCATCAATCACTAGCTCTTTCTGCTCAGAACTTCTTTGTGCCTTCAGGGTTGGAAAGATGACCTATCTCGGTCATTTGCTTCTAACAAATTGATTTGGATGTCCAAATATTTGTTCTGCAATTCCCCGTATACCTGTCTCCATATTTAAACTAAAATTCCTTAAAGGCAACAACTTTCTTCCAGTGTTAGCCATTATGAATTAAAATGAATACTGGCTGAAAAACCTGGCTTTCAACATTGCAGGTACACGAACAAAATAAATATTGGCCGAGTGCTTACTGTGTGTCATGCACTGCTCTCAGGGTCTGATTTGTATTAACTCGTCTAATCCTTATCACTGCACTCTAACATAGGTTATTTTAAAAATTTCCTCACTAAATATACTAGGAAACTGAGTCACACAAAGGTAAATAGCCTGCCAAGATGTTAACTGGTACACGAGTCAAACCCACTCAATCTGGCTCTACTCACTAGGTTACCAGACCTACATTTTTTTTTCAGTAAAATTTTAATTAGATTTAGTAGTATTTTAATAAATGTTACAATTTAATTATTAGAACAAATATAATTTTATTTTAAAAATTGAGTTCTAGATTTGTATCTAAACTTAAATTCACACAATCTATCAAGATAATGAAAGTGATACTGGCGTACGCCTTTGATCCCAACACTGGGGATGCAGAGGCAAGTGGCTCTCTGTGAGTTCAAGGCCAGTCTGGTCTATGAGGATTAGAAAAAAAAGCCTTACAAAGGTAATTTCAAAATAGGATATCACAAAAAAGTAACTCTAAGAACTTCTAATACGGCTTCAATATAGCACAAGACCCTAAGGTAGAAACTAAACAATTCAAATGTTTCTCAACTGATTAAAAAAATTCCCTAACAGCCATATTTATTTCTGTATTAGGTATACTTCTTTAGTACTGTTAAAATAGAATCGCTCCAATAGACATAAAAAAATGTTAGCTTTAAAATAATCTGCAAACCACTCAAAGAATTTGTTTTTCCCAAGACACCTAGATAACACTGAAATCAACATTTTAGCATTTTCCCCAGAAAAAGTTATTAAAAGTAAATGGATATTTGCATGATGTTTTAAAACTATTGGGGATTAACTTATGCACTAAAACATAAAGTTATCTCAGACTGAAAAAGGCGAGGGGGGGAGCAATGGGTCTAACAGTGGACAGTTTAGTAAGATTTTTCTTGTTTTTTTTTTTTATTCCAGGAAATTACTTAACCTATGAAAAAAATCAGGCTATGAAACAGTTAACAGGATAAGGAGAACTCAAGGCGAAAATTAAGAACCTCAAAGGACAGCAGTTAATATGAATGGTTCATGTTTAAAAAACAAGTCATCTAAAATCATCTTGTAAAATCTCACCAAGAGAGACACCAAATACCTGGACATATATAATAGTTCTTAAATAGGACTCAGAGCTGGAAAGATAATGTTTTCATCAGTCAACTTCAAGCTATTCTAAACTCTGACAGAACTAAAGAAGAAATAAACCGGCATTTAATAAAATGAAATGACAAGTCCCTGAAGGCCTTTTACAGGGTAAGGAAACTGTGTACACCTAATTCAGAGTCGAAAGCCGGGCAATTCCAGGTCTCACAGCAGTCCCAGGGCAGGACCATAAAGAAGGTGAATGCTGGTGACAAGTGCAGATGTGACCATTCTTAATGTTACCGTGCAGTACACTTCAAAATGATATCATCCTATGTTATCTGTACTTTCCCACAAGTTTTTACATTCAAAACACCTCTAAAATTCACACCAGGAAGAGTATTTCTGCCATGTAAGAGAACTAGAGTTTACAAAATACAGCGCATCTTCAAATACAGCTTCCATGACTCATGTTACCACGACTATCTGCACAGCTAAGTCTTGTACTTAAAAAAGCTTACTTTGCCGGGCGGTGGCGGCGCATGCCTTTAATCCCAGCACTCGGGAGGCAGAGGCAAGAGGATCTCTGTGAGTTTGAGGCCAGCCTGGTCTATAAGAGCTAATTCTAGGACAGGCTCCAAAGCTAAAGAGAAACCCTATCTCGAAAAACCAAAAAAAAAAAAAAAAAAGCTAAAATGAGCTCAATGCCTCATGAATTCACTTCTTTAGCAGATGAAAAAGAGGACTTGTTTTAAGGCTGAGATGCTTAGAGAAAATTAAAATCCATTACTATCTACTGATAAATACTAGTAACTTAATAAAGGCAAGAGGGATCACCTTAGAACAGAAATATAATTAAGATTAAAAACATGTTCAGTTCAACTCAATGCCAACCAGATACAACTACAAATAGCAAGTGTGTATGTTTGTACCTTCACCCAAATAATCTGAGGAAAACTAATTACTTACCTGCTTATTTCTTGCCAAACCTAGTTGGGAGCAAAATAAATTTCAGAAAAAAACAGTAACACACACTAACACAGACACACACACACACGAACAAAAAGCAATCACTAAATCCCATAAAAATAGAACAAGGAACACACAGGAACTGTACCAATCCAGCCACCTCACGCTCCTGTCAGCCCCTGAGCACTTTCCGAGGTACCCTGAGTGTGGGGTGGGAGCACTGTTCATCTATGGGGGCTGAGACATCAGAATCAGGACTGCATTCTGGGCAAACACACATGGTTTATCTTTTCTTAAAGGTGAAATGATTCTGGGTTTTCAGGATCGAACCTGTTTCACACCCCCTTCCACCAAAACATTCTTAAATATTATTTAAAAGTTTCTATGATCCACAAAACTCCCAAATAGAATACTATTTACCATAAATTAGCTTTTTATACGAAGACTCATGACACAAGCTCGGGCCATTGTCCAGCCCTGCCCTGCAGTTGCTAACCCTGGGAGCATTGTCATACCTGACTCAGATATCAGCGGTACATGGGACAGTCTGCTCCTGGCCCTGGTAAGGGGCCTCCGAGGGTAGTCTTCATTAGACTGCACGGCACAACTCTCAGGCTGGGAGCTCCCCCTCCTGTCCTCACCTGTAGCCCCACAGCCACTCCCATTAGTCCTCTCATCATGTGCTGGGCCTGAAGACCCCCCTTGTGGCAGAGTCCTAAAGGAAAAGGCGGATCTCGTACCATCCGGGCCATTCACAACACAGGCTCGGCTGGTTGAAGGACGTTCCTCATCAGAACACCTGCTAGTTCTCCTTTGGGACTCCTGGGGCCTGTGACAGCAGCATCTGGGGCAGACAGAACTCTCTGCATCTCCCTCCTCCATGGCCTCAGAGTCCTCTGACCCACCAGGGGAGCAGACACACTGCCTGGACACATCCACTTCTGCAGGGCTAGGCTCAGAAGAACCCCCGCTGGTCACCGTCCTTACAAAGTCGGGGCTCTGAGAAGCAGGGCTAGGTGAGCTGGAGTTTCCCACTGTGCTGGCGGTGGTGCTGCTGCAGCTGGGATGAGCATCCTTGCTTTTTTTCTTTTCAGGAATATCCCTCGCTGCTTTCATATCGGCTTTGATCTGCTCACTGGTGACCTGACAGCCTTTCTCACAGCTGCCCTCCTCCAGGGGAAACTGCTTCGACGGGCCCGTCTGATGGGAGCTGTGCCTCTTCCGAAGTGGAGTCTTGCCTTTTCCACTTACTGCTTACAGAAAAAGAATGGCCCGAGGGAGAGAAAAGACTTCAGTGCAAACCCTGGACGAAAGGCAAGAGTAAATCTGGACCAGGAGACAAATGCAGCAGCTTTCCTAATTATGTACTCACCACTACCAAAACTCGGCACCATCTCTACTGCCTCCCTCATGAGCTCTCTCCAGCTTGCCCAGTGAGGTCACCACAATATGATCCCAAGCTAACTTCTAATTTAGCCCCCTCTACCTGCACTTTGGGCCCAGCTCCAATGTTTCCCTCAATGTAGACACCCCATCACCGAAGGGCCTAGAGCTCTGTGCAATCCTTGATGTGCTATAACAATGCCTGCAACATTGTGATCCAAGTTGTCTACGTGTCAGCTGGACTAAAGGTTCTGTAAGGACAGACTGACCATGACATAATGCATCCTGTGATCCTTCACAGTACCTAACAAAGTCCCTATGGCATAGCAAGGCTCAATGAATATAGAACAGAATACACACATAAGGCTGATTAAGACACTGGACTGGCTGATTAAGACACTGGATTGTCTATGAAAAAAATTACAGGTTAGTCAGCTGGTCACATTTTCTCTAAATTTTAGTTTCCATGAAGCTTCTTTCCAACAACAGTATATATCTGAATTTAAAAAGGAGTGAACTAAAAACTGAATAATCAGTCAGTGGTTAGTACAGTATTCTAAGTCCAAAAAACCTGAGCTTTCCAAAATGAAGCACTATATATAAGGCAGGTAGAGTGTTAACTGTGTATTGAATATTCAAACACATTAAGGAGCAAAGAGAAAAAACAAGCAGTCAGTTTAGAAAAAGTAAAAAGACTGTTTAAAAGAAGTATGCTTTGTTACAAGTAGTGAGCACAAGGTTTGAGAACTGAGCGGAAAGAGCAAGGGAAGAAAGAACTGTGAACCTAAGAGACAGGAGAGCCATCATTTCTTAGGAAGGCGAACAGAATAAGCTGGTGCCTGGCTTTAAAAGGAAACTAGACACTATAAAAACTACGTTAGGGAGCTAGACATACAGCTCAGGGGTAGAGTGCCTTCCTAGCATGCTAAAGGCCTAGATCCAAAACCCTAGCACTACAAAACAAAACCCTACATAAACAATGAAAACCCCAAATTTCTGCATTTTAGGACTCCCTATTTACTAGAGAGTAATATTACCCCAATATTCAGACTACAACTGGGAGTGCATGAGCTGGACACTCACCACCCATCCTTCCATAAACCAAGGCCTCCTGCTGACCGCTGACAACCTGACAGCACAGCGACCTAGAGCCGCACTCAAGGGTTCCTCAGGTCGTCTCTGCTGTGCCCTCTCCTGCTCAACTGTTGCCCTCCTTACTTCCTAGCACACATCCTAACATGCAAAAGCTGCACCGTGAGCTGCAGTAAAGACACATATGAAGATGGAGCAAAGCAGCTCGGATATCTCCCACTGCTAAGCCAGAGCTGGGCGCTGCTCACCTGCCAGCTCCCTAGATTGGACCGACTCTCCGTTTTTCTCTTCCCGTTCCGAATAACGGCGGGCACCATTCTTAGGAATCCAGACTTCTTGTAGTTCTAGACTGTCTTCTTCGTCATCACTCTCGGAATCGTGAACTGTAATTGGGGGAGGTTTTACTACGCGCTGTAGACCACTAGGTCCTAAAGCAAAAAAAAAAACAAAAAACAAAAAACAAAAACTAAGAATACTTGTTCACGAAAAACTCTCACAGAAAGTACTATTTCTGAGACTTAGGGTTAGAAAGATGCTTCTGCCAAGCAGCCTTCAGTCACTTACTTTAGTGAAAAAGCCCCTGTGTGAGATTCTTTGAAGCATTTCAACAAGCTACAGCCATTATGACAACATGAAGCTGACTAGAATGAAAACTGGTATACATTTCTAGAGGCAAATTAAAACATCTGTCCCAATTTCAATATTTCACAAAGCACAAGAATTCATTCTAAAATAAAGTAACAGTTGCATTATTTTAAAAACTAATTTCTCAAAAGTATAAGAAAGCAAAGAAGATAACCCTCAGAATATATGGAGTAGTTGATTACAGTCTCTCTGGAGAACCACATGCTATACTTTGGTAGAGAATGGTCATTTATGTAAAGCACAGCTTCAGACCTCCAGCTCTTCCAATCCGATCCTGACAAAACACAAGCTGCAAGGAACCTTGTCTGCTCTTGCCTGTCACACTGACTAAAACCTGGCAAAGCTGGCAGTAAGTCTGCAGGGTAGGTGACTGCATTCGTCAGACACTCGGAACAAGGTGAACCAGGAAGGATAGTGCTGGGTTCTAATCTCAGGCTCCTCCCTGTCACTGTGCTGAGCACACCACTCACCTCTGAAAATCTGTTTCCCATAGAAAGCAAAGAGCCAATCAAGGCCATTTAAAAGACCTGTGACACTAGCCTACCACTGGGGTCAGAGACTGGGATTTTTTAGTCTACTCACTAATCCAGAACAGCCTCTGCCTTGCTTCTCCTCCCCTCCAAAGTGAGGTCTTAGTACATACACATTTTTTAAATTAAAAAAAAAATTGCTTTGAGACTCACATAAATAAGCACTGTATTTACATCATTTACACTCCTCTCCTGACCTCTCACATGTATGACCTCTTAATTATTGTCACACACACACACACACACACACACACACACACACACAAAGCTTGCTGTGTCCATCAAAGTCTGAGTGCTTTCTTTTTCTACATCCACACACAAGACACACAGTGAAATGAAAAAGCAGTTGCTGGCTGCAGCTACAAACAAAACAAACAAACAAACAAACAACTCTTATGATACAGATGTATGAGGCAAGGAGAATATAAAGTCTCAGTAGGGAAGAGCAGATAACACATCAGTGTTTGTTCATAGTACTTCCTACTCGCCATTATACTCCAACCCTAATTTCCTGATGATGGATGTGGAAAGTGTGTCATGATTACCTGCTTGTTCCTCATCAGCATCCATAGGAAGGAGTCCCTGATTGGGAGCTGGCACGTCACTTCCACTCTCAGCTCCCACCTCTCCATCCTCCTGTACCATGTCTTCCATCTCATTTAATGCTTAAATAAAAATAAAGTGAAAACTAAAGAAACCCAAAAATCCACAATGCATGTAAAACCAGCAGTTCTGGGATAGCACACCCAGTCATTATGAGACCTATTCTTAAAAGACTAGCTTGTAACTGTTTCAACAGAGACAAAGAAGGGCCCAGCTAATCCAAGAAAAGGAAATCACAGATAGGAAAGGATTATTTCATAAATCAATGTAAGACAAAGGCAGGAAAAAGGTCATAATTGAAGATGATGATCATCTTATGAACAATGAGCCTTGTGGGATCTGCTGTCTTAACCAGGCTATATTGAGCACACAAACTCAAATTCTACCTTTGGCTGATATATGGCAAGGAACATTAATAAACTACATACAGTTATTAACTCTTTAATGGCATCTAAATGCCTGATGTTTTTCAGTGTTTACTATATCAAGTGCCTATCAATGAATGCAAACATGTGGTTTTATTCTCACATTATTCCAAAGGATAAGGCCCATGAAAGCCTTAAGACCAAAAAGCTTCAACTTACTACTACTAATAGCTAACTTTATCAGCTGTTTACAAAAAAAGTGCAAAATTCCTCAAAGCAATATTCAAGACTTCTATAGCAACATCTTATTTCCCAAACTCCTTAACTGAACTTAGTTTGAGTCAGAACAATACCAGTATTGAATGCATTCTAATGAGATTTTGCAACAAAAGGCATTTTCTTCCCTGTACTGAGCTGCAGGCACATAATTTTCCACTGCAATCCATCACAACTAGGCTTATAGAATTTGTAGTGTTTTGTGTTATAGCAGTTGTAACAACTTCCCAGGGGTGATTTATGCTGTACCAGTTTGTACTTTTATAATGCCTGTGATCTGTAAATGGTATGACTTTTGGAACATGACTCCTCTTTGGCCACATCAAAACGACAATATTCACCTTCACACTTCCTTCTTTCATCTTTACTATCTGCTGGCTCTATATGTCTTTATATCTCTTGGGGTTCAGATCAGGAGATGGATTTGACTCTAAGCTTGCAATGTCTAGCGACAATAAAAGTTTAGAGCCTAATTTACTTTAAAAAGTGTGAAGTTCAAGGCTAGAAAAAGATATAGAGCTTAATATATAGTTGGCACTAATGCTATTATTCTAAGTGATACTGAATATGGAGAGACATGAGGGAAGGGAGGGAAGGAAGAGGGAGTGGAAGAGAAGGGAAGAGGGAGAGGAAAAAGAGAGGAAAGGAGAGGAAGAAACTGAGGAGGAATGCCAAATGAGGTCAGGGTAAAACCAGGAAAATGACTATGGAGTCACCAAGAGAAGAAAGTATCTCAAGAAGGTAGAAGTAGACAGAACTCACAAATACAGTTGATCTGTCAAGTAAGATAACCACCAGGATTGAGAGTCTTTAGTGATTTTGCTGAGACCAAAAAAAAAAAAAAAAGTTTATAGATAACTCTCTGTTCAGGACATCTATGTTCACAGCATGCCTTTAATTACAAGTCATTCCACAGGATCAGGACACCCCATTTCTTACAGTTACAATGTCTATGGGGTAGACAAAAGAATGACAGGAAGATGGCTAGAGGAATTATTTTCCTAGCTTTGAGGGATCAACTGAGAAACCAGAAAACTACCTCGGCTTATTCATACTCACTAGCAGAGGGCATGGAGATGGAGCCTATTAGGACACAGGCTAGCAGACAGCAGGTGTTTAGTAGCTAGGAAAGAACTGGGCAGGCAATTACAGAGCACATTTCATAGGCTGGAATTAGATCATGCGCTTTGTCTGCTGGTCAGCTATAAAGATCTGCAGACTGAAAGCATGTGAAGCTCACCTGTGCATGTAGTGGGTACTCATTTCCTTTTTAACCTACGTAGTTTAAAGGCTACTTTGCTATAATCCTCAGAGTTAAAGCTCAGTTAAATCAAGTCTCTAATGCTTTCAACGTACGGAGTCCTAGTATCTACCAGTCCTTCCACTCTGAATTCTCTGTGTGTAGACCATGCATGACAAGCTCAAGTAAGAAAAAAACCAACAGGATAGAATCAGAGAAACTAAAGCAAAACTCATTTGCATCTGGAGCTCATGAAAGATCTGAGTTACCATCAGCTGCAAACTGCTGCTCTCCCGGCTGTAGGTCTTGACGAAAGTCATTCTCCTCATCCGAATCGTCTGGGTGATGGTGATTGTTGTCATGGATGTTGGCATTATTATTCTGAGCATTATTATCATTGTCATTGTTGGAATTCTGGTTGCTAACAAGTGCCGAGGAAACCCCAATTCCAGTGCCTGCACTCAGACCAACTCGAGCACAGCCCTAGGCAAAAACAAACCATGTGCTTACGAATTTGGGTTGGAACACTTCATTAACAGCTCTTCATTTCATCCTTACATAAGGACGAGTATTTAAAAGTACAACTTAAGAAATGCTTTCAAGTATGTAGAAAAGATCTCATTCAAAGCTCACCACACTTCAAGACAAAGCATTACTAGGCTGATTTGCAAACATCAGGTGCACACTGAGAAAAGAAATGTGTGACAGCACATGACTGATAAGTGGCTTAGCTGGGAACCAAAAGCCGAGTCGATGTTTCCCCACTATAATGAACTATTTCAGCAGTGAGGAAAAACCACAGCAGCACAGATTACCATGAATACTGTTCTATTGGTGAGGCAATTTAAAAATAACATTTGTACAACGGGACAACATTGGATTATTCAAGATATAACTTATTAGGAGATGGCAGCAAAGTAAAACATTTCCAAAATGAATTCCTATCCTTAGACTTGAGCTTCTGCAGACTAATTTTGAAGTGCTCTGGGAAAGCCCTGCGTCCTAGCGTCTCCTCTATCTCACCTTAATTTATAAAACAGGCAGCAGCCTAAGTTTTCCTTTCCCTTCCCTGAAGACCCCTTAACGCACACTGATAACAAGAGGCCATCCAATGCTATAAATGCCACACCTTCACTGAAGACAGAATTTAAAAATACAACTGTAACAGCAGAAAGGCATATTTATTAAGAAATAAACATGACAGGTTGTTTTGCTTTCTTCCCTGTATCCAGACTAAAACACAACAAAACAAACAAAAAAACCCAAAAACTTCTCTCAACTGTGATTCACCTTGGGTGGCTCACGGAACATCTGGTCCAGGGAAATAAACTCCAGGCTGGGCAATAATTCAATAAACTGACCGAAAGAATCCAGCTTCAAAGCATGGCATCGCACGAGGTTGATATCAACCAGCCGTGTCCACCTAGAGTGATCTGTTGAAAACAACACGACATGTGTTTACTCGGCACTGTCCCCAGGCAACTCATGAATTGCTACAGATCACAAAAGTCTTTCCAATCCTCTCTTTTTGAGTAATTTTTCCCTTATTTCATGGTCTTTAAGACTTGATGACTACCTTGATGCTCCATAGCTAATTTCACCGTGAGAAATACATGGCCCAGGAAACACTGACATGAAGCTAAGGTGGCCCTGATTGAAATGTCACTCTGTCAGCCTACATGCCTTTCAGCAACAGGACATTGGGGAAAGCAAGCACGGCACATTCACTTAGCTGAACAGATGCACCTACTTTGACTGAATGAGGAGAGCTATAGGCTTGCTGAGACGGACCGCTCTCCTCAACAGACTTAGTATGCAAACTAACAGGACAGTGTAAACATAGGAAGTTCCTTCTGAATAAAAATCACTTTAAATGCTATATAGGTATAGGATGTAATATGCACAAAATAATTTGTCCAGAAGAATATATAAGAAACTGTTGATGACGGTTACCTTGAGAAGAGGAGACTTTTCATTTTGTACCTTTCTGTACTGTCTGAAATTTATCAAGTGCATGTATTACTTTAATTTAAGTGTTAACAGGAGTTCTGAGTGATGGGATTATAAGCCATTTTTTGTTTTCTTCTTTAAACTCTTCTGTATTTAAGAAAAACAAACCAAAACCCAATAAATGTTATTTTTTAAAAGTGATCTATACCTGCTATATCCTAAAATTCCTAATTTCCAGTAACATGTTGGTTCATCTGGGCCACAGATAGGTAAGGTATGGACAATCTGGCAAGCAATCTCAGAAGAGGCTCGAGGGCTCTGAACAGTCCTGAGGGCAGCTCTGCAAGGAGGTGCAGATCCCTGGCAATTGTTCTGATAGTAGAGGTCAAGGGTTCAGTAGGTATTTGCAAGGGTGTTTGGTTAAAGTAGGTATCACAAAAACCTTATCCTCTAACTGGTATCTACTTAAAGTTTTGTGAATACAGACAGTTAAAGGCTTTTAAAATAAATGGCATTAATTTTTTTCATAGGAGAAAATGAACTTGTGCCATAAGGAAAAACATCAAGTACAAAAATCACTTCTATATTTGAGATGGGATAGGCAGGACAGGTTAAAATGGAATAGGACTTCTGGTCAACCAAAGCTTTAACTTCAGGTTAGTGTTTAATAAATCATGTAAGTAAGGTTTTAAGAAATATGCCCCTATTCTTTTCTTTCAGATAATGTGCCACTTTGAAGGTAATTCTCAAAGGAATCAACAACAATATCCTAGGTTCTGGGCAGAGACTCTTAGTTTTAATTGCATGTGCAAAGAAGTGCATGCAAAGATCAGGGTACTTAAATCTGTAACTGGGGCACTGCAAACTTCTAAGCTAAGCTTTAAAAATTGAAGGGGATACTGATTATATTTCCAACTCATTGAATAATGGTCCTCAAAACTTGTATGAACAACCTACATAAAGTATATGTATATAAAATATCTACATTAGGAATATAATCATATCACATAAAAAGACATATTTCACTACCAGAAAACATAGTGTTATTGTCAAGTTTACTGTACCTGAGATCCAATTGTATGGGTTGTGTAGATGAGGACAGTTATAAATTGCCAGATATTTGATACAGGAAAAAACTTCATTGACTGCCTTCATTCCTATATCAGTGATGATACCAGGATTTTCGACCACATCTGCCAAACCATACTTCACCAAATCTGCATTAGCCATTCTGCCTAGAAAGAAATCAATTTTAAAGTCTCAGTGCCATGGAGTGTTGTCAATTCTGTATCTTATCCCTCCATGTGATTAACCTGTTCTGTTTCAGCCATCATCAGGCCGACTTCAGGTTTAAAGTCTGTTCTGAATATATGGTAGCATTCTCACACCAACAGAATTCATGTTAAAAGACAAAGGATAGATAATAGGAAATAAGTAAACTGTTTAGAAAGAAGAAAAAAGACTAACTTAGAGATGTATTGGTTTTTACAACTATAACACTTTAATTTATCTCTTAAAAAGAAAAAGGAAACCATAAACTGGAACTCTCTCATGGTATAAGGAGCGTGTTTTTAAAGTATAGTGTGGCCATGGAAAATTAGGATCAGATTTTATTTTAGAACCCATAATACAGGTGAATAGGTGTCTACCCTGAGTTGACTCTAACTCGGACACATGTCACTGGGCAGTCACAGTGTGAAGCGGGCTGAGGGTGCTAAGTTGTCCTAAACCAGGCCACTGGCAACCACACCTCAACTCGTGCACATCATCACTCTCTCCTCCAACGGCGGGTCCTCACACTTAGAGCTCCCTGAAGGATATTCTAGTTAGGTAAGTTGTATCCTCCGTATGTTAGATAGTACTAAGAGAAACATACACAGATACACATACATAAACCTTATAGTCCTTGAAATTAACGCAACAACCCTACAAACAAACAAAAAAACTCAATTGCTCTTGGTGAAACTGTTTTTCAACAATAGAGCAATGTACATTTTTTGCTTGGAATATGTATTAACCAATCAATCGACCCCAAGTTCTGCCAATTTTATTCTCCATATAGTTTGTACTTCCTATTACTGTCCAACATTAGTATTTGTAGGCATTTCCTGCAGAAGTCATCTCACACCATCCTAAACTTAAACCTCTTTGCTGCTCTTTGGACTTTAAGATCACTTAATCTCTTACGATGAGCAAAATCTTGAACTGACCCTATTTATTAGGTGCTGTCCACATAAACGCTCCACTGTAAAATGACAAATGTATGTCCTACGACCAGCCTTTAGGGCAACCCATTACTGCTCCTAAGTTTTTCTATTGGCCAAAATTTTTAAAATCCCAATGATGCCATCAAAACTTCATTTCCATTCCTTTTCTTTGTTTTAAGCTTACAGGGCAGCTAATGGTAAAAACTACTACTATTTACTAAATAAATACCTCAATGTTAGAAATTGCTATAAATGAATTTATCCTTTTTTTTTGAGATAGTCTCACATTGCCTAGGATGGTGTCCATTTTGTTGTGTAGCAAAAGATGACCTTAACCTTCTAATTCTCCTTCCTCTAGCGCAAACTTGGCTAGAGAAAAATTTATAATTTTTCCAATGTCTCCTCAGAGCCAATCAAGAGAAAAGTAGGGAAGTACTTAAGTATCTTACACAAACTCATGACTAACAACATGCAACTCTCCTGTTGTTCCATCTCTCTCTAGAGTTCTAAAACTTAAAAGTCAATATTGCTGAGTTTTACATCCTGATCACCTTCACATAAAGCTCTGAGATAACAAATCCTTCTCCAAGTATCCTTAGGTCACTGAATCCCAGCAACTTTTATTCCTAATACAGAGCATCTGCTTTTCAGAACATTGATCACCCGATCTGGCACTACCAATCTTATTAAGTGCTAGAGGACAAAGGTGATGTTTCTATTCATCTATTCTGCCAGACAAAAGAAAAGTGACTCCAATTTTATCAGTCCTTCACCTTCCTGCTTCAAGATGTGAACTACTAAGAAGGCAGACTGAGACAAAGAACAGGAATGAGCAGTGATTCTTGTGTGCCAGTGTGCTCATGTGGAGGTCAGAGGGCAATCCCTGCTGTCTTCCCTGTCTTCCACATTACTTAAGATAGGATATCTTGTTCACCCATGTAATGCCAGGCTCGCTGTCCTTAAGAACATCCACGGAGTCTCCTGACTCCACCTCCTACACTGTCAAAGGAAAACTGGCATTAGAGATGGGATTCTTAAAAGCGAGTAAGCACATCCAGCTCTGGGGATCTGAACTCAGGTCCTCATGCTTGCCTGGTGAGCACTGCACCCAATGAGCTAGTGCCCTAGTGTTTATCCCACTTAGGGTAGTCTCTCATAGAATGCATAACTGAACCTGAAACAGAATCCCTGGCAATCTTTGGAAAAGCTGAGTCCAGATATGAACAGGTTGAACAGTCTAGAAGGGAGTGCATTATAAAAAAAGCCAACACCAAGAACCTACTAAATATGAAAGAAACTGAAACAAACTGCTTTGAAAGTATGAACTAAAGGTGGTCAAGTAGCATTTACGTCCTACTGAGAATGTGTGGTGAGGGGGAAGAAGCACACAGAAGAGTAACTGGTACAGACAGAAGAAGCGCCTGCCTATCCCTGGAAAGGGAGATTTTAGCCCAACCCTTGAGCAGAGCTAACAGGTGGACACTGTGAAGGTAGGGAAGTTGCTAAATTACGGGCTTGGAGAAAGACCAGATTCTGACATGAGGACTTCTGAACACAGATTAAAAAAAAAAAGGATAAAAAGGATAGCAGTCTCTTTCATAACCAGAAAACCAAGACAAGGGAAGAGTTAATTTTCTATGAAACCATCTTAGCCTCCTAATGCTATGCTGCTAAAACCCGAGAGTTTCCAAGCTACACAGATTATTCCAGTATTGTCTAAAAATGGGCGTTCTGATTTAATATTCTTTTAAAGAATCCTGCACTTACACAAACAAGATCAAAGCACATGCTGTGACATATACTGAAATGAATGAGGAAGGTAATTTTTTTTTCTTTGCACAGGACTGTCCTATGCTTGTCTCAGTCAATAGTATTTATAACTTTCTACGTTCTGTAATGCAAATTAGAGCCAAAGGAAACACAAAAACCATCTAGTATGACAGTGGATGTTCAAAAACTTTTATAAATTATCTGAGAAACAAATTAATTCTTGATAGAATGAAAACACATTGGTGAAAATTTTCTTCCCTATCTTACAAATGCCTCATGGGAAAACAGTTTGAATAATGAATTTGACTGGCTTAAATTCAACCCCAAGGCATGAGTTCCTAATTTTAAATGCATACCCCAAATGTTATCAAGCCAGCAGCAATTACCATAAAATGAATACTAACCACTGTGTGCTACAGTATCTGCAAAGTTCAGAATCCCAGCAGGCTTATTATGGAAATGCAAAATATGAGCAAAGAATGGGACCTCATCTGAAGAGACCATCAAAAGCTTCAAGAAATGTGACAGATCAAATTCAACAAATGGAACTATGAGTGACATTCTGTGGAAAAATAAAGCAGAATCGGAAAGAAACGTGGACAGTGAAGAGGAACAACCGCAAATCTAGATACCGATCTTGGCAGGTGTTCATCACTACACTCCTAACAGCATGTTAGCACAGACGCCGTATGGCAGAGGAAGTCCATACATCTGAACCTAAATACAACAGTTCTTCTCCGAGACATGCAAGCACTTAAGACATTAGGTCAGCTTACGCTCAGGAAAATAAAGGCACACAATATCCAGATTTCAGTCTATCAAGCACGTTTCCCTCAGCAAATCCATGGAATGAAACATCAGGTCTTACTCTGCAACAAGAACTCATCTACGTATCCCAGGTGCAGGGTTTCAAATTGTGGAAACTCCAATTCTGCCATCTTTAGGGCAGAAAAGACACCATCTTTGGTTAAAGAAGGTTGGATGCGAACTTCGTGTAACCTACAAACAGAAAAATTTATTAAAACACTGAATTAGATTGTTTCGTGTAACAGAGCTCAGTAACAAGCTTATAGTTTTACTAACATTACCACAGGTATCAACAACTTTCCCCTTTCCATTAAAAACCAAACAGCAATAACAAAACCAAGAAGTTAACCAAACAACCCCCTCTTCTCAAGTGCAGCCTAGCATTAGCAGTGCCCTACAGCTATGCAATCAGCAATAATGGCCCAGAGAGCAAGAATCCTACAGCTGGCCTGAGGACCTTTTCTTTCTTCCCTAAGAACTGCATTAAGCAGTTCAGATCAGGGCGAGAGTGTAGAGCTGGTGGATGGCCATGGGGAGCACTTGCTATGCAGACATGACGACAACCTAGGTTACCTGAGTTCAATTTGAAGAACCCACAATGGGAGGTGGGAATTGACTACTCAACGTTTTGTCCTCTGACTTCCATATGCATGTTGTGGTGTGCATGTGCACATGCACACACATGCATACAAATGCAGTAATAAAAACAAAAGTGTGATAGAGTATATCTGGTATCAGAGAAAAATATCTGACATTTTTCTTATGTTAGCATTAATGTTTCATTTTAATAAAGATATACTTTTGTAGTATGTAAAAATACTAAGTTAAACACTTTTGTTTTATTCATAATTAACATTCTACTGGTAAAAACTTTTAATGAGCTGACAGAAAAATTCAACATAAGGAAAAAAAGTAAGTAGAGGTAGACCTCTGAGAGATGGGAAATAGTAAATGTAGTATAAAGTGATATGAAGACACATTAAAAGATATGGAGGTCCAACATTGCAAAAAGCCAATTTAAAACATGTTTCTAAAGTTTATCAGCTAAAACAATTCAGGAAATCAAGTACAGATGGAAAACGGTTCCAGAGAGGGCCACCAACTTCTATTCACACTACACTCATGTACTGATTTCCTGTGCAGTGATCCCATACACCCTTCTAGGGCTGACCTACCCAGAATGCAGCTCAAATGGCTCCAGTTCTACATTTAGACAAACATGAAGAAGACAAGTCACCTGCTACTTAATTTAGATTTTAAATCCAAATGAGACATGATCATTATACACAAATATTTATAGTTATATTAACCCCAAAGTTTTCTAAAACTTCTAATTCTCAAACAAAAACTATAAGGTGAAGATAAAACATACCTACGGGCAGCAGTAATGATGAGGTAACCGAGATCTACTTCCAGGGCATTCTTGCAAGCTCCTAAAACAATAGTGTGCAGATTTCTAAAACCTCCTGGGTAAAGACAAAGGGAATAAAAACAATCATTTCTCTGACCTCGGAACTTCTGGTAAAGGAAATAATTACTTGTTTAAAAGGAAATGCTTTGTTTTTGCAACCAAATTACCTCCAGGTGAATTATTCCTAGTAGTTATTTCCCCCAAACAGATACTCACTCGGAAAACACACTTGGAGCATCTGAACACTTCAAGCCTTAAGACAAAGAAAATGCTGGAAACTCATGAGGGAAGTGCAGAAGGATTGATGTTTCCTGGCCAAATCCCGAACCTCCAGTGTATCATGAATAAGACAGTACTACTTCAATTCATTTTCATGTTTAAATTTTTCAAACTTTGGTGTGTGTGTGTGTGTGTGTGTGTGTGTATGTATGTATGGATCCATGTGTGTACTGGTGCACACGCCCATGTGGTAGCCAGATGTTTCTTTATTTCCTTTTAAATCTTTTTTAAAATAATTTCTTACAAAACTCAAGTCAACAACTCATACAGTCATTTTTCTTCATTTATTTATTTATTTATTCTGTATATAATATTCTGTCTACATGTGTGCCTGCAGGTCATGGTTGTGAGCCCCCATGTGGTTGCTGGGAATTGAACTCAGGACCTTTGGAAGAGCAGGTAATGCTCTTAACCACTGAGCCATCTCTCCAGCCCCTTCCTTTTAAATCTTCTATGTTTTAAGACTAACCTCTATGGAAACTAGAACTTGCCATCTGGCTACATTGGCTGGCCACCCACCTGCCCGCCTCCATCACCTAGCACTGCGGTTACAGATGCATGTTGCCTGTGTGCCATAAACCTGACTGTTGAGTCAGGCCCAGTTTGTTTGTATGGTAAGCACTTTACCCACAGAGACATTTCTCCTTTCCTTTATTTTGTTTTTGAAAGGCATAACTACATACCCAAAGGGAAGAGCAGCAGACAAAAATCATTAATGTATAGATCAATGAATTCTGCCTGAACACAAATTACCAATTATATACACTTTTGCATCTGGCCTCTTTGACTAAACACTGTCATGTGATTTATCTACATTGCTGTTGGTGGCTCTCAGTCTGTTCCTTTGCATTGTGCAGAATAGTATGTGAATATGCCACATTTTAATTATCTATCCTATGGATTACTGAGGTTTGAGTGTCCCATATGGGGGACTATTAGCAACAATGCTCCTATAAAACAATCTCCCATGTATTTCTGAGTAAACATGCATTCTTTTCTGTTGGGTTTAAAGCTTATACAAACGGTCAATGTTAGCAGATAATGTCCAGCAACATTTCCAAGGGCTTCTATTAACTTACATCCTCAGCATTGTCTTGCTGGTGCACAACCTGGCCAACACTACTGTTTTTTATACTAGTCAGGTCAGTGCTTGTGTGGCACACTATAACTTTAATTTATACTTCCAAGGCCTGCCAAATTTTATCATTATTTTTCATGTTTATCAGTCATATGGCTAAACTCCTATGTGAAGGTTTTTGTTACTAGTCTTTTCCCATTTTGCCTGCTTTTTTTCTTAATTTCAAGAATTCCTTACAGATTCTTAATGCAAGCAAACTGTTAGAGATCTGCACTCAAGAGTTCTTCCTACTCTACATATAGATTGCCTTTTCACTCTTAATCACGCCCTTTGAGATCATCCCTGGCCACTCTCTTCAGGCCTTCTCTCTAACAGATGCTGTGATCTTCTTTATTCCTGACTTTTATCTTGTTCATTAAAATAAAATAAAAGTAATGATGGTGGTCTGGAGGGAGCCTATTGCCATCTATGATTTAATGCAATGCAGGGAACTCATCACTGACTTGATTAGGTGACAAAGAGTCTTCAACATGATTTACCAGTATTAACCACATCTATATGTTATTGATGTTACTGGAAGATTTTCCATTTTATTATTTTTCATTTTACTTTCTTTTCCAACTTGCTTTATTAATAAATTAACTATGCTTCTAGTTTTAATTACTAATCATCTCAGTTAATTTTTTTCCTTACCAATGAAATGATTAGCATCCTGCATTCTGCATCCCTGCATCTAAGGGATGTTATGAGTAAGTACTTTTGCTTTCAAGAGATATATGTGGCAAATGAGTCTAATGTCAAAGTATCAGGCAGGACGAACATCTATACTCTATAATAATGAATACCAGACACATCAGCATTACTAAAGCCTGAGCTCTTCTAGAGACCTAAGATGTCCAAGTCATAAAACCTCTTCTCAAAGGGCAATGAAACTGGGTCAGTCGTTCTAAGAAAGAGTTCAAATATAATGAAAGGTATTACCTATTTACCAAGTAACAAGTAACAAAATAGAAAACCAGCCTTATTACTCTTTTGTTTCTCCTGAGGTTTAACATGCATAAAAAGGCAAAGAATATTAATCTGTGCTCATGGATGTGTCTCATCCTCAAATACACCATAAAGAAAGCAAAGACAACCAACTACATAAGCATTGTTTTTTAAAAATTAAGAGGATAAGAGGCATCTAAACAAAGCTTAAAAGAAATAAAAGCTAATTTTAAAAACTGTTTTGTAACTAAGGGAATCCAATACCTGATCTCCAGCTGTCTTCAACCACATGTTGGATGAGACCTCCCAGGAAAGGGACTCGGACCATTTCTAAGTGTTCCAAGTTCCGGGCAGATGCCAGACCAGTTACTAAGGGCACATATTTCAAGGAATTTGTAGGTCCTGGAAAAAGTAAGTAACAATAAATCTTAATTTAATAAATTATTTCAAAGATAAATTTTCCTATAAACCTCCTGTGTTGAAATGATAGACAGACTATTGGTGACTGTCAGTGCCCTGTGCTTTACTAGGTCAAAGGGCTAGTCTGCTAACCATACACTTATTCAGCACAAGAATCTTTCAAAACCCATGTTGAGATATGCAATGTTTTTAAAATACACTTAAGTTTCAATAATTTTCATTTCAAAATAATAAATGGAAAAAAAATCTTAAGGAAAATTTGTTCCTTCACTCAAAAGAACTACTCTATCATTTCAGCATCTATGTCCAGTAGTGTGTTAGATACTCAGAAAGACTTCTTCCAAAGGAGAAACAGCATTATAACTAACTCCAAAAGGATAAAAAGGCCGAACATATGAAGTACCAAAATAATACATACCATACTCAATAAAAAGGAAAAAAGAGAAGAGAGAGAGAGACGTCAGGAAAAACAGACCCTGAAGAGCATGCATAAGCTGAAACGACGCACGCATCTCAGGGTAATAAAGAGTAACCAAAGCAACCCCAGGGGAAGCTGCACATCTGTGTGGGCAGTAAAAAAGTAGATGTGACCAGCAAGACAGTCAGAAAGGAGCCAGAGGAAGGGTAAATACCCTTTAACAATGCCATCAGCAGACTGGGTACTAAGGGCTCTGTTCAGTTGCATAACATCATAAAAACAAAGCTTAAGGTGGAATAACTGTTCATAATGTTTAGGAAATCAGACGCTAAAAAGATGAAATCTATTGAATTCGATGGACTGAAACCTGAGCTTATATAAAACACAAGATAGTCGTAGTTTTTGTTTTTCGCTAAGGTTGATTGTGTTTCTACTGTCCACAAAGCAAAGATATACATACCCAAGATGTGTAAGTCACAAAATATAGACAGTAATAACATACTTTCAGTCAGACGCAGAGTCTGCCAGGACATTTTTAGAAAAGCAGATACTTAATTCAAGCCTAACTGTATAGCATTACCTGCGCAGTTCCTCATGACAAAGGTTCTCAAGCTGATGCAAAGAAAATCTTTAAATGGCTGTGGCTTAGTGAGTCTCACCCACTTCATGTACAGGTGCCTTAGCATCGGGATGCAGGGGATTTCAGGAACATTGACCCCTGAGCACACACAAAAAAAACAAGAACATGACAAAAACAATCAGCACTGTCTCTACAGCATGTTCAAGAGTCCAGTTTTCAATTGATCCTCTGTCCTTCAAGCTTATCTATGACATAACTAAAGTCCATCAAATTTGGTTTATGTAAACAGGTAGTAAAGACGGAAACTGTATTATAAAGAATGGGCTTTAAAATCTATTTCTGTATTTAAAACACACAACTAACACCCGTATCTTATAGGATGCAAAGTAAAAGTAAATTTCTGAAAGCACAGCTGTGATGACGGAGGTGAGTTACGCAAATACTATATGGCTGCCGATGGCCACTACTGCCCCATCAGTAAGAAAGACAAATCTCTCAGCTAAAGCTAAGATTTTGTATTATGGTTGGTGACAATACATTTAAAATACACCCTGAAGTCATTTCTACAATAATATGAATCTTAAGAATTTGTAAATATGTAGAATAAGCTAGCACAGCCTTGAGAACAAAATCTGACACCTATTTATTTTAATGCCTCAAAATGTTAAAGATAGTTTATGCCTCTTGATGACTCATATCCACAGAGAACTCAATCTGGAAAATGGGAAGGGTATGTACTAGGGAGATGTCAGCAGATGTGGAAGAAGAAAAAGATTGCTAATTTGTAAATCCTAAACGGAAGGAGGCAGCTTCAGAAATGCGCTCAAACAATCCAAAAGCCTCTGAGAAAAATCTAAGGGTTGAGGGTGACAGCACTTAACAGACAGTAGCTGAAAAAATTAACACAATGCCACTTTATTCTCTAGACTTCTGACAAGAATAGCTAAAGAAAGCAAAGCCACGGAACTTAAAACTGGTTGGTTCTTCGGAAGATAAACTGAAGAACCTACTATCACTTACATGCATTACTCCTTAACCCGTCTTCTCCAAACTGTAGTGGACTTCAGTTTTACTATGTAAACATACCATATGGCAACAAATGGGAAATAAAATGACGATAAAACCAAAGGAAGAAAATCAGACCAAAACCCAAAGAATTTACAAATTAAACTTAATGTCTACCACAAAGGTGGTACTGCTGGCTGCTATGAGGGCCAAAGGGCAAGGTCAGAAAGATCCAAAGACAGTTATCTGATGCTCAATCCTATTTTTTGCCAAATTTATCCTATAAACAAAAGATAATGTACATTTCTTCACATTACCACCATATAGTTAGTACAAAGCTATGAGCCAAACACATAACTAACTCATTTCAGTGAAACTTAGCAAACACTTATATTTGCAATTAACTGGTGCAGGCACTATAGAAAATATGAAGATATAAAAATCTTCTACCTTAAGGTTACATTATAAATTTCAGCTATTACAGAAGTAGAACCTGCTCAGACTTATTCTACAATCTTACAGACAAGAGGATCTTTACTGTCCTTCCACAGTCATGCGCATGAACTTAAGTCCTGTCCCATAGTATCCTCAGGTCATCCTATGACTACCTAATCTGTCTTAGAAACTCCTACATCCTCAGAATATCCCCAACATCTGAAGTAATTATTGGAATATAGCATATATTCAATAGAAACATTAATAGAAAAATAAAAAATAAAAGTAAAACATAAATCTTAAAATATTAATAAAGTATAAAACTGAAAATATTTTGGCTGAGGGTATGGCAAGAGTACTTGCCTGGCAAGCACAAACACCTACCTGGATTCCATCTTTGACACCACATAAAACTGAATATTTAGTGTATGCACAATCCAAGCACTTGGAAAGTAAAGGCACAAGGATAAAAAATTCAGGGCCATCTTTAGCTCTCTAGTGAATTTGAGGCCACCCTGAACTACGTAACACTCTGCCTCAAAATAAATAAGAAAATAAGTAAATAAATAAAGTGTTAGGTTGTATTAATAAGGGTCCCTCAAAAGTGTCTTAGCAGACTAAGGCAAAGATGAAAAGTTAAACTTCATAAAATATCTGCCCTTGTTGCAATTACGATGATGTAATTTTAAAGAGCATACACACGGAGAAAGAACAATGTAATGATGGAAATAAAAGAATTTCTGGAAAAGACCACTCCATCACCATCTTTTTAGAAGAAAATGGTAAGAGGCAGAATGTTCATTTCATTGAAGAACATGGTAATTGTTTTACTTAAAGAGGAAAACTAACAATTACTGAGGGTCTTGTCATGTTCTAGACTGAGGTTTAATAGGCACTAGCTATGTCTGCCTGTTTAAATTTAAGTAAATTAATTGGGCATGGTGGTGTGTACCTGTAATGCCAATACTCAGGAGCTGGAAAAACAAAGATGGATAGACAATTCATGGTCAGTCTGAGCTACATAGAAGATCCTGACTCGTTTCTTTGTTTAATAAAATGGAATTTAAATACATTTTAAAAGTGTAGCTCCTTAGTGTCAGTAGCTAGAACGAGTGCCACACAGCACAGTAAAACACTGCCCATGGCTTACTGTTGAAAAGCACTTGTCTTGCAGTAAACGCACTTGCCATTCAAGCTTTGTGACCCAAATCCCATCCATGGAGCCCACTTAAAAATGGAAAGGGAAGCTGGGTGGTGGTGACAGCGCATGCCTTTAATCCCAACATTCGGGAGCCAGAGGCAGGATGGGTCTCTGTGAGTTTGAGGCCAGCCTGATCTACAAGAGCTAGTTCCAAGACAGGCTCTAAAACTAGAGAAATCCTGTCTCAAAAAAAAAAAGAAAGAAAGAAAGAAAGAAAGAAAGGAAGGAAGGAAGAAAGAAAAAAGAAAAAGAGAGACACTATATAGTGTACACAATATATAGTGTATTTGTACTATATACACTTGTCCTTTAACCTCCACATGTGCACCGTGCCATACACACACACATCATACATGTTAACACAGCAAATTAAATAAAATTCCTCCTCTCCAAAAGTTGTATAAGAGATCCCACCTCTAAAGGTCAAAATCAGAGTAAGGGCAGGATTCTAGTTCAATGGAAAAACACAAAATATAAACCCTTCACAACTGTCTTTAACTTGGCAATAGACTGCTTGAAAAGCAACATAACATTTTCCCATGAAAAAGATCTTTAACTATGAAAAATCTGAGCTTTCAAACAAATCTCACAAGCACTTCTTTTTCTACAGTTCAATCAATAACACGATCTTTAAAATGTCATAACTGTTTCAGTGACTACTCACTTACACAGTGTTATAAGGCACAACAAGTGAACCAGAAAGCAGGTACTCACCAACTAAATGCAAAGTTTGGATTTTGGCTCCTATGGGGATTTTCAGTTTATTTTCAGGAGGAATTGGAAATGCTCCGTTACGATTACGAAATTTCCCCAAAATATGAACATGCGGCATATATGTCCAAATGGATTCTACCAACTCCAAATGAGATGTTTCTACACCCTAGAAAATAGCACCATGGCAAGCATAAGGAAGGTTTTTATTTCACATTCAAAGTGTCTCTTTCTGTACAAGATGCTGAATATGCAATGCAACTTAAGACAAAGTCTGTTAAGCGTGAAGTCTGCATGTGAGTGGACAGGTTCCACAGTCCTCTGAGCCACCGTTTCATCAACCAGCCAGTTAAAATGTTCCACCAGGTACACTTACCACCAAGTTTGGGCATGCTTGCAAAGCTTCTAGGACTCCTGGAATGCTGAAAGCCTCATGGCCCCTCACTCTTCGCCTCTCGAGGTATCTAGGGTGAAGGCCATACAGCTGTTCAACATCTGGCATCTTCTTCAAAAGAGTGAGGAAACTGGAATCTGTGAAGCCTGAGAAGGTCAGAGGCATTTAGAACAGGGACATCATTCGTCCATAAATGTTTACTTGTAAGATCCAAAAAAAATTCAAACAGAAAAAGGTCCTTTGAAAGTTCTATAAAGCTAATGCTACAGCTGAGTAAACTTTACAACAGAAGATATGTACGCTAGTCTCATTACACATAAAATGAGTCACGCGTACGACTTGCTCAAGAATCCACTGCATGTCTAGCATACTTTACAACTAAGGTTTTTCATCTACTGTGTCCTAATAACACATATTTAACCTAGATAACGTGGACTTCTGGACAGGAGGATGGTAAGGAACTATTCATCACAATACCACCCAGTTTCTTCACCTCCTTCATAGCTGCTACTCTAGAAAACCTCCAGAATTCTGCAGAACACTAAAAGTAAAAATAGGATACAATCCTCACCTTTAAAAAGTTCGATGTTTCATCTAAATGCCATCCCAAACTGAGTTCATCCTATTCTAACCATTTCCTGGCAATTGTTCTCTTATACGTTTGTTACTCCCCATTACATCTGACAGTTCAAAAACAAAACAAAAAACAAACAACAAACAAACAAAAACCAAAAGACAGAAGGAAGCTGGCTAAGAAAACAAGAACAACTGAATGTGGGGAGATACTGAGATGGTGAAAACTGTGTATCTGGGAGGCCAGGTGTGCTCTGTAGCAGGAACTGACAAGATGCAAACTTTCACAGCAGAGGCTACTGGGTGAATACACATGAGACAAGTCACAGGCAGGACATACTTTCTATTACTGAGGCCCTGGGAGGTGTGTGAAAGCCAACAGTCTGCTAGCTGATAACAAAATATTAGCTTTCCTAAACCAAAGTACTGAAGTTATCTGTTATACTTGGACAGGGCTAATCCAGGGTTGCTAACTACAGAATCACAAACGTAAATAGTAAGAGCCAGGCTTGGTGGTGCAGCCTATAACCCCAACAATGGGAGGTAGAGGCAGGAAGGGCCAAAAATTCAAGATCAACTTCAGTCCACTTCCATAGTAAGTTTAAAACCAGCCTGGCCTACAAGCAAGTTGGTTTCAACAACAAAGTGAATAGTAAGTGACCATTATTCTCTTGTAGTGCTAACTGGCTGAACCATTAAAAGTGAACTATTTTATATGTTTCTCATTTTCTAATAACATAATAAATAAGGTAGGTTAGCATCTCATGTACAAATGAAAAAAGTGAAGAGCCAACCAGCAATGCTAGAATTCAAAAACTAATGTGGGCACCATGAATGTAGGCTTCTTTTTACAAAGACTATAACCATCATAAATAGGGAAAGTTAGTTGAGGTGTGATGTGACTCCAAAGAGATCATGGGTATGAGTCATCAGGTATGTCTATCGAGATTTAGGGCTTTGGTATGGTATGGTATGGTGGCACATGCTTTTAATCTGAACACCTGGGGTAGATATAGCTGAATCTCTGAATTTAAGGTGAGTTCCACAGCCAAGGCTACACAGTGAGACCTGGTCTTAAAAAAAGGATTCAGGGCTTAAACTCCAGAGAATAAGCCAGTGGATCATTACACACATTTTATATACTCTTCACCTAGGCTACAGTCTGTACGCTTAAATTTTCTTAAATTCACTGGAGAAATAAAAAGTTTTGGGCTCTCCGGTATTTACTGCAGTCTGAAAATTGCCACGCGCATACAGATTCTTCCCTAATGTGGTAAGTGCCACGGTGTTGATGCTAAGTTTGGCGCACACAGGAGCTATGCTATCTCCCAGAATCCTGCTTTCAGGCCCGGGTAAAGCAAATCTAACACAGCATGACATCACTATTCTCATGCTGCCTTGACTGATTTCTTGCCCACTACAAACCATAACTGTCTAGAATTAGACGAACACTTTCCCTTCATACTGCTTCCTAAGTAACTATGACAACTGTGTTTGTTTCCTTTAAGCTAAGTGCTAGCTTGGCATTGCAATGGTCTTTTCAAGACTGCATATGCTGTGTACGAATGGCGAGAGTTCCGCAGGAATCTTGAAAGGACAGCACCACAAGCTGAACCCGACAGCACTCTAGAGGTAGTCTGTTCTGTCTGTCCAGGAGAGCGCAAAAAGGCAGCTCTTCAGTCTTCCACCTCTGTACTTCTGGTAAGGACTTTGCTGATGTTTTGATGCTGTTAAGGAGTTTGTCTGCCTCAGCTTCAATCCGTGTTCAAAGTCTTACAGTCTGAATATTATTTTCTAAAAGCATGATTTTAAAAGACTCTAATTAAAAAGCAACAGATCACAGTAATTAACAGACTACTGTTAAGAGAAAGGCAGTCCTTTTATGGTTATTTTAACAGGGATACAAACTAAGGGCTTCTTTTGCTTCATACACACGTATCATGGATTTTCCCACCATCTTTTGTTCCCCTTTCTCCTGCTAGACCCACTTTCTCCCTCCTCTCCAAACAGTCCCTCCTGTTTTCAATTTTCTTGTCATAAATTGGTCACCAAAATAAACAAACAAACAAGCAAACAAACACTTTTTTAAGGGGTGTCCCATTCTGCGGAGCCGTTTTTATTGGTTCTGACAGGGCACAAATGTACCTTAAAGCTCTGTCTACTTACCACTCGGCATATATTCCCACCACCGGCCTGCACAGAGATCCACCACTCTGACAACTCTCAGATACAGAGTAACTGCTTCCTTTAGCTTCCGAGAGAGACATTCCATGCACATGATATCCTGCAGGGGGAGGTACCTTTGTAATGGAAAGAAATATTAATCAAGGATGCATGCAGTTCCCCTCCCTCTACCATGCCCCTACCCTTTAAATGATGTGAGGTCTTAGGAACACCCGCAGCACCTTAAGGTTTAAGGTCATTCAGCTTATCGTTTTTAGATTTGTTATTTTATGTGTATAAATGTTTTGCCTGCATGTATATATGTACACAGTATATATGCACCCTGGTGAACTTGGAAGGTCAGAAGAGGGTGTTGGATCCTTCGAGAGTAGAATTAAAGATGGTTGTGAGATATCATGGGGATGCTAGGAATCGAATCTGTACCCTCAGCAAGAGCAACAAGTTCTCTTAACCACTGAACCAACTCTCCAGCCCCCTCTGGCTTTTGAGTAAATACAGGTAAGTCAGCAAGTACTCAAGTACCAAACAAGTGCTGAGCTCTTTCCACGTGATAGCTGGTAAAACCTGCTATGCTTCCCATAAGTGTTCATGGACAAAAAACATTTAAAAATAAACATACCAAAAAGCAAGAATGGCACAAAGACAATAACAAACAAACAACTTCAGCACATTCGAGGTACACTGACAAGAGAGGGAAGATGGCAGCGAAAGAGCAGAGACTCAAACACAGCCAACATGTGTCAGTGTCACAGCCCGGTCCCTGCTGCTCCCTCTCAACTATCACTGCTCCCTCAAACGCTTTTGTTTCTCCACCAACAAGCACATAAGCCGAGGTTACAGCAGTGTGCTGAAGTCTTCCCTGTGATGCCCTCTCTCTTCCCAATCTTCTCATCTCCTTCCTGAAAGTCACAACTAACCTGTTTCTAGCTTGTTTCTAGTAACATCAACATGTACCTTTAAATAGCAGCAAATCTCATCTTTGTCTCTTCGGAGTCCTCCACACTCACCTAACTGTCAAGTGGAAGCCATGTTTTACTCAGTGGGGACTGGGTCACAACTGCACGGTTGCTCCTTTCTGCCACACAACCTTTGCCCAGTTTCTTTTTTTTTCTCCTGTGTCATCCTGTCTCTGGTCCTCTAGCTAACAGCTACTGTGGCAAGGAGGCACCAGTCGCAGGGCTGCTTTCTGCTGCCACCAGTCTCCTAGATGAATCTAGGAGACTTAACACACTTAACTGGTTCCTTTAACTCTACCCATGTGACAAACTCCATAACTAAATTATCCTCAAAGTCCGTGGTCTGCTGGAATCCTCCCTCAGCAGGTAGGTGCTATTGTTATGCCATTTTAAAAGCAGAGGAAAGGCCAAGAGTAACTATGAAACACGCTGCGATCAGAGTACATGATCATCACAGCACGGATCTGTGCCTCACAATGCAATGAGCGCTCTGAAAGCCACTGGACCCTACCCCATCACTGGTCCAGAGGTAGAGAATGGCAGGCCAAGGATGCTGACTCGGGTTTCATCTCTAGTCTTTGAGTGGTATGGATAAAGATAACGAATAAAAGAAAAGAGTAAGAAGAAAAAGAGCGAAAAGAAATAAAACATTTTCTTTCTTGCTTTAAGTAATGGTTATAATAAAGTTAAGTAAAAAATAATAATTTTAAAATTGTTTGGAGGCTGGGAAATGGCTCAACAGTTAAGAGCATTTGCTGTTCTTACTCAGGTTTGATGCCCTCCAAATAGTGCATATCATCTGCAACTCCAGACTTAGGGGATCCAACACCCTCTTAGGACTTCATGGGCACCAGGCACACACATGGTACACAGACATACATGCCACACGACACACAGACAGACATGTCAGCAAAACACCAATGCATATAGAGTAAAATAAATAAATCTAAAGGAAAAACAAAAGCTTTATAAAACAAGTTTGCTCTTAGCTTTACATTTCAGGTACATAAAAGTAAACCAAATAAAGTCTCACCTAAAAATATGACAAAGCACTTCATGTGACAGCTGGTTCATGTAGTCCTTCGTTTCCTCTGTTATGGTTTCCTCTGCGATCTCATCGTCCATCAGACACATTTTCACACTTTTCTTTCGTGGCCCCATTGTTGTGCTGTCCTTAGTGCCAAAGAACAAATCTGGCCTATGATTTTAGTTCAAAACACCTGCAAGAAAAACAGAGTAGAAGTGTCTAAAAGAAGCACACCAAACTTAAACCCCAGACTGTCCCTATTACAAGTGATTAAAATAATGTTCATTTGGAATTGCCGATGGCTAAAAGCCTAAAATACTGATGTTATTACAACAGTACACCATATTCACACTTAGAAATTATTCATTTGTCCTATTCTCAAGACAGAGTACCTTTGCCTGGAGAAGAGTTGAGATTATAAACATATTCACCATGAACAAAACCCCAAGAATTAGTCCCATTTTTTCATTTGTATTCTGAAGCTTCCTACCCAGTTGGTTCTTTCAGTTTCTCCAGACATCAATTTCTTGACTATGTAAAGGAAGATAATTAAACTAGGTAGCAAAACTGCTTCTGGCTGAGAGCTTATGATTCTCAACATGCAACCAAAATTAGTTTGTAAAGAGATGTCTGAACTCAGAGGAGTAAACCTCTCAGCTACTAACTGAAGTTGACCCCTCATCTACGTGCCACTGGTATCAAGGACTCCAGTGTTTCACAGAAGACACCCCACCACAGCAGAGACTCTTAGACTCTCCGCTGTGATCTGTCACAAGGATTATTTCCAGGACAGGAATCAACCTTTTAAATTCTTCATTCTCCTACCTACAAATTGAGGGAATGAAATCATACCTTCTGTGAACAGAGTAAAATCAAACTATAGACACTCTCCTTAAAAACCATACAAAGTTTACAATTCTGGAGGGAAAATTCACTTTTATAAAGTATATACACTTTGCTTTTAAAATAAAGCCTTAGTAAGGGAAGAGGAAGAGGGGAGGAAAATGAGAAGCAACAACATATTTTGTTTTGTTCTGTTTATTGGTATGTGGGAGTAACACCCAGACTGTCAGACTGTCTGGGAACAACTATGTGAACGATGGTGGCCCAGATATAGAATAGTTATGAAATATAGATCTCCTCAGTAGTAATGGGGCTCTGTAGACAGAGTTGAGAAGTCAAATGAGATTTATTTGAGTGTTCCTCAATTCAGACGTGCCTTCACATACTTTCAGTGCCTACAGTAGGCCTAGCTTCTTGAGTGAACAAAAGACCTTGGGAAGCCAGTGAGGAGATAAGGAACCCAAGGAGATTTGACCTTCAAGCCAAGATAAGCAGTAGAAAGCAAACTCAGTTTCAAAGGAGCACGGGTAACACACCAGCCTCATTTACTGCTGGTTCTTTGAAGGACAGGACAATTAAAATGATACCTAAGGGGTGATCAGAAAATAGGGCAAAAAGGGAGTAAGGGAGTTTAAAAAAAGCATTCTAGGAGATCCCAGCAGCATGCAATTGCATGTTCTCAAATGGCTCCCAGGGAGTTGGACCTCACTGGGGCAGAATGAAATGCTAGGAGTTAGATGGGCTAGGATGTCAGGTAGAGAAACTACAGCACTCCAAACAGTCAGTGTGTTTACCCAGAGTTAGACAGGGAGGCGGGGCTTATGGTATACAGGTAGACTAAGGGGACAGATTTAACTAATCTCAATAGGCACAAAGTCTCTGTAGAGGAATGGTTTTCAGGCTGTATATATCCCAGGGGGTGGGGTAGTCTATGATGGACATTTTTTGCACACACTATCAGTATCCATGCATGGACCAAAAGGGAAGGTTTTGCCATTTCCCTCTGGGTCTGACGCTAGGGTCTTCATGAGACTGTGCCCATGTTAAACATACATTCTTTAAGAACTTTACATTCTCAGAGTTCCCTCCACTCCCCAAATGTGCTAAACTCTGGGAGGGAATCTGTTTTAAAGAACTAAAAACAAAACCAATGATGTTAGGATAAAGAAGGTGAAATAGAAGACGAGGCTGAACTATTAGCAGAGTTCTTAATCCTCAACGTGATGAAAAGCCAGTAAAGAGCCATCAACGCGAGCATGCACTACACCAAGGGAGCATGGGCACCTCGAAGTAAAAGGACACTGCTGAAATATGTGTAGTTCCCAGAGAGCCTCTGCTTCAGCAATAAACAGGAGCAAACTAAATGAATCCTTATATCCATGTGCTTGTCTGAGTTCTGATCTCTTCTTCCCTCACCGAAAAAAGGTGTTGTTGGTATCAGCATGCTTGCCACTGCTTGTGTTCCAGTAACCATAAGCATACTCCCTGATCGGTCGCTTCTCCCCAGTCACACAACCCAGTTACTTATTTAGCTGTGTGGGTTCTTATCAAAAGGACCTAAAGAATTCTGCAACCAGTAGGTTGCTAGAGTAGACAAAGCTAGAGTACAGTGAGTTTGTGACATTGACATTGGCTTCTTGGTGGCTGATTTATGTTATCCACCTTATTATGGCTTTCAGACTTCCTGTGGTGACAGAAGCTATGAAACTGTTTAAAAACTATACAAACCAGTTTCTGGTTATATCACACCCACATTTTCCTGCTCACTTTCCCTTCTCACCAACTGAAACTCCTCATGTTCCAGTAACTCCTGAACCCGCTTCTTTCTCATCTTTGGGTTCTGAAGTGATCCTCTTCTCTGTGACCATTCTTTGGTCCTCTTTGCCAGTTCCCCTGGAAGCCAGCTTCTCAATGGCAACTGTGCTCATTCCTAAAGTTTCATTACTACAAATGCAAACACAACATATAACACATTGTCCTCTATTATGGGTCACTAAATTCCTAAATTATAAACCTTGACCATCGTAAACACATTCAGGTATCTTCATGTTCCATGACTACTCAACAAGCTATCACCTATTTTCCCACAATATTGTTCTTATATGCATTCCAATTGGCTTCTGGGACTCCATCAACCCTCATCTATGCTATTGTGGCTCATAGCTTTCTATGAGGGAACAGCACTGCACCGTCAAAGCCTACAGCAAAAGCCAACCATGGTTCAGGCTTTCAGACGGCAATTCGTTGACTAAATGCTTACCATACCACATTTTACACTGCAGCTTCAGCTATCTTTTCAACACATTCCTCTGATTTCTACTATATTAAAAAAAAGTATAATCAAAACAAGGTGTAGACTAAGTCTCAAGTATGATTTTCTCTAGATAAGAGTAAATGACACATATGCCTGGTTGTGACAAAATATTAGCAGTGGTTACTTCTAGGAAATGAGATCTGATTTGAACATAAAAAAGGAACCTACTTTTTATTTCATATTCACCTCAATCATTTGAGATTTTCAGATTAACCTGCATATGGGATTTCATTAAAAATTAAAAAAAGGAAAGAAAATCAAAGTCCAAGGAACCCTGGCTCTTAAAGAGTAAGATCTTTCTAATCCAGCTGCAGGTTTTTTCTGATCTCACCGTGACTCCCTGGTCCACTCGAGCAGGGCCAGCACCCACCCATTCATCTCTCTGAACATGGATCTTTCCTTACATGCCATCAATTCAGGCTGCTATAGCCATAATCCTTTAGTCTCTCCCACCCCCTCCTAATTCCCTTTCTCCCTAGTCTAAAAAACCATTAATTAGCTCCCAACATCCAATTTAAATTTTAAGTTTTTTATGAAAACTTCTCCTTTCATCTGTACTCTATGGAACATAGTGTAAAATTCTACAATTGTGTAATGGTCTAATGATCACTTTGGGGGGGGCAGGAAAGGGTTTCAATCTCACCTCCAGGAAACAAGTCTTCACTCATAATAAATCCATTATTCCATATGCATGCACTAATCATTTCACACTCCTATGAGCAGTTTGCTGCTACAACATTCAATAATCTCAGCAGTAAATACTATTAGAGTTTAGCCCAATAAAAACACATATAACACCTACCTCCAGCATGCAAAAAGCTCTAAAACACAGTTAACTTGTAGAGCCCAATTTACCCAGGGGCTGCCCAGATGTTCAGAACAATCCTCCAGGTCCTGAAGACATGCTTCAGGCAAGAGTTTTGACAGCCCTTCAGATGAGCATTTCCTGAGCCCTTCTTCCTTTCCCCCACTGAGGCCACTGCTCTTAAAGCACCTTCCTTTTATGACTGTATCTCTGACTAAGCACTATTATTTTGCAGTGCTCTTCCTGAGACATATTTAGTGACCCTCGGTGCCCCATTTATTTGTCCCATGTACGCTTAAAATTCTAAATTAATTAGCATTAACATCATTAAGTTTACAAAATTTGTTTAGAATTCAAAACTACAGAGATAAATCACACAGAAGATATGATAGTTCAAGATGCCTACGAAGTCTACTTAGCCTATAATCTTTATCTAAAACCAAAAACCAACGACAAAAAAAAAAAAAAAAAATCCAAATGACCAGGACTGCCAGGGCATTCAGAGCTATATTAGGCCTGTAATTACACATGTGTCTCCTAACATACTTGTCAGGTAAGGAAGGCTTACACTTTCGGTGAAGGGGGGACATGAAATGACACTGGAATAAGAGGAAGATCTTTCCATCAGGAGGTTGAGAAGGGGAGGGGCCTACAGACAAGGGGAAGCCCTCTCCAACACAAGCAGACCTGGAAACATTTGTGAGAAAATCTCTCTCACTCAAGGACTCTGCTGATTTCCTTAGCCCAGTGCATACTGACAATGACAAAAGACAACAGAATTGTTCAACTCCACTGGGCATCATTTCATTTACATCAAACACCAAGCTGAGCTATGCTGAGCATTTCCTGCATGTGAAGCAAACAAGCGATTCATGATGCAAACTCCCAGGTAAGAAAGCATCTCTCTAGAAAGGAGACTATCATGCTTTTCCTTTGGGAATAAAGAGCAAGTAAAAAGGGAAGGAACTGCCACAGCTAGCCTCTATTCCCGTTCTTCCCACCTTTTACACCCATACCACTAAGCACTCTGCTCCCCTGGAGAAGTGCCAAGAAGGATTAAGGAGTAGCAAGTTAAAGGAGAGGGTCCAGTTACCAGCAGCAGCAGAGATGAGGTGGACCTGGCTGAGTCATGTGAGGGACAGACGACAATAAACAATGCAAACAGAAATATGTGAAGATGGTATTTTAAAACACCAAGCATTATTTCTAAGGTTAACAATTTTTGGAGACTCTGGCTGGCTCTGAACCTGTAGGAAATGTTACTCTGACAGAACGATAATGGATCCCTGAATATTACATGCTGCAAGGGCCCTCAGAGACCACACAGTGACACCACTGACAGTTTGTGGGTACAGACTCGTCTGAGAATACCACAGTGGTGCTTTTCTCTTTCTCCCATGCCAAGGGAATTACAAATAAACTTTCCGAGGCTCTTTCAGAGGAACAAAGAGCCAGAGAGGGTAAATCAGGAAGCCACCTGCCTTGGGTCAAATACAAAGTGTCAGAGCTCAGAAGACTCTGACTCCTGGCCTACATAACATACCTGATGATTGTCAGCCCTCAGCCACCACAGCTGTCTCTCCGCATTCCAGAGCTACTCCCCAGTGCTTAAAGATGGGCTTCAGGGTGCTCCTATTAGAATCCTAACTATACCCTTCCTCACAAAGCTAGGCTTCCACACAGTAGCCCACAGCCCCTGGGCGGTCCATTATTCCACACAGAAGATTGCTGACCAGAGCTTAAGCACTGGGAGTTTCAATTCTGCCCAAGACCCCCAAGCACTCTTAAGTCTGAGTTCTTTGTCAGTGCCCTTGAAACCAGGGCTTTCTAAAATACACTTTCTTTACAGTCCCTCCTCATCTTCAGCCATGTCCTCAACTGAAAGGACACTATAATAAGCTGACAGATTCATTCGGGTTACTCCCCAAATTGTGCCTGTCTCAAGCTTTAATGCTCCAACATTCTCTTGCCTGGAATTAAGTTCGTTTAATTGTGTATTTCCATCAAAGAGTTTACTGAAAACTACAGTGCATACTTCTGAAATCAGCTGTGTCTACAAATAGCTTACCTGCTGGAGTCCTTAAACCCCTTTCAAACGACAGTCCGATCTTCCTGTCAGCGTCTCTAGCAGGGCCTACTAATTACAGGAGAGTAATTACTCCTTTCCTCATCTCACACAGGCACTCTGGAACACGCATGCCTTTTATACGGGTACTTCACAGAGAAGAGCTAAACTAACTTCTCTTGAAACTAGCCGAAAATGTAGGATCTGGTAAAAACTTTCCCCCCACAATTCTGAATCAACATCTCCATCTGTATCTAATCAATGGCAATCCTTTGAAAAGGCTCCTTTCTCCTGATTCCTAGCATCTTCTCATCCCTCCATCCCCTCACTGGTTACTCTTTGGTAACTAAAGGTGGCAGCAAAGGAGAATTATCCTTAGAGATAATTCTCACTTCAATCATTCCCATTTACTAAGAGCAAATGACAGCTCATCATCCTAAAAAATAAACATAAACACAGAACAAAGATCTCTTTCAAACATCCCGATCGTTTTACAATGCCAATGTCTTTCCTGCCTATGAGGTTTTCTAATGCCTCTTTATTTTCTGTTGGCTTCAATTTATGTCAAAGTAACCTTGCAAATCAGCTAATTAATATCCACGGGACATTTTATGTATCTATATCTAGGATATACTCTCTGCTTCAAAAAGGTCATCCAGCCATCACACTTCTGATTTAAAGGGGGAATGGGAGCCAAACCTATACTAATGAAAAGAGCAAGGAATCTAGCTCAACCCTTTATTTTACAAGTAATGAAAACATGTACCAGAATGATATACTGCCTGCCACTGAGGCAGAACATAGCATTTCTGAAGGAAGGATCTAGGCCTTCAATTCCAACTCAAGACCAATTTTTGTATCACCTAACTTTAATGAAAACTAGCTTCCCCTTTCTCTTCTATTATATCCTTTTGTCTAAAGATAAAATGTGTACCTCGGGCACACAACCATTTCAACACACAGTGTTGTCTGAATCCCATCTCTGGGGAGACATACATCTCCCTTCTGAGGCCCCAATAACAAACCAAGGTACAATTCCACCAAAGTTTACCCTGGGGAACTAATGTATTTACTAGGCTTACTTACTGAGCATGACTTAGGGGCTACTTACAGGAGCCTGGCGTACTCAAAAGCAGCCAGACTGTCAAGTAGTCACCTGGTATGGATGACAGCTTCCTCAGAGTTGTACCCAGAGTTAACCTTTCCAGACTAAATACTTTACTGCCTCCCTACCAAGAGGCCATTTGCAATTAGGACAGAATTACATACAAAGGCCAGGTGGCTCAAGGAGCCCTGAATCTCAGATGAGTGCCAATGACCCATCCCCCATCACCTTCTAGGAAGGAAAGTCAACAAACAGTAGGCCCAATTGCAGGGTCTTTTTGCAGGAAGTCATAGATGCTCTGACAAGGGCTGAAGACTGCTAAGCTTGGAGAATGGTGCTCACTACAATACATATGTTCTACAACAGCCTTCTCCCAAACCCAGTACAATTGCAACACCACAAATTCTGACGAGAAGGATGGAGTCTTTCCAGACATCTAAAAATAAACGTTAAATATCTCAAATAAACGTTAAAATTACAAGAATAGATATTCCTCAATCTGTACTACATAGTATGTGCTTTCCGTGTTTCAATTTCTCCAGCTCCAGAAAAATCTTAGCTTTACAGAAACCTTCTTTTATCTTCCATTTGTGACGGGCTTGGGGGTGGGAAAGGAGATTAAACCAGTTGCTCTGACAGATGAGAAACTCCAGGTTCAAAACAATGAAGGGATCTGCTAAAAAGGAAGAAAGCAAGCACCAAGTAACCAGTAACACTGGGACAAAAATTAGGGTCTCCCATTTTTCCCAAGATGAATAAACCGCATCATACTAGAGCTACTTCCTCAGCAAGATGAGGGCAGGCGTTCCTCAATTTACTGGCCTAAACGACTCAACATTAACATCGTTGAATGTGTGACGCTCAGGGTATGTGTTGGGGGAGGGGCTCAAAGTCCGGGCAAACCTCCCACTTCGTTGATGAAACCGAGACCCAGGGAAGGCTCTGTATGGCGGAATAGAAGGTTGGATGCCTTACAAGTAAGGCCCGCAAGGCCAGAACCACATATTCAGACACTCCTTTCTCGGTCGCTCTTAGGCCCCCAGGAGTTCCAGAGCCCGAGAGTGAGGGTCTGGGCGGTGGGAGCCCCGGACCCCTCCACTTGCCCATAACCGCGCACCTCCACCTTCGCGACAGCCTCCCAGGCCGCGGCTCACTTACGCCGGCCCTCCGTCTGTTTTTGTGGTTGAGAGGGACCGAGAAACGCGACAGACTCTTCCTGCCGCCCCCACCTCTGCGGTGCTTCCGCTTCCGCCGGCTCAAGAGCCTTCGGAAATAGTGTCACCGGAGGTTGGGCGTGGGCGGGCCCCCGCTGTATCCATTTAGAGTGTGGCTACGTCCCGGTGAGGCAGCCATGTTAAACGTGGCATTTCCTGAAGCGTTTCAACCGGCCCTTCTTCCGGTGACGTGGAAGTACCCCGCCGGAAATGCCGGGAATCTTTTGACGTAGATTTTATGGCGCTTGTACTCTGTGATCCTGGTTATGCTTTCGCTCTTCTCATCATCATCATCATTTGTAAAATTAATAAGTTCACTAAAGATATTTTCCGCCAGAATTTTTTTAACTAAAAATAGGACCTTGTTTTCGAGGGATGTGGCTAAGTGGAAGGGCGCAAAGGTACTAATAAATTATTGCGTCATTTCGAACATTTCCTTTGTATGTGGTTTATAATCTTTTGAACGTCGAAGTTTTCTTATCAGTGTTTCAGTAATAAATGAGACACTGGGCCTTTGACTTATGAGAAGTGAGCTTGATCAGTTTCGTTTTATAGCTAAATTGTCTTCAGAGACAATGTCACGAAACTGGACTGAAATCGGTTTTTAACGTACAGCTCCCTTGCCAATGCTCTTACAGGCCTGGAACTAACGTGACTGACACCTAGTTCTCTGTAAGCACCCAATGGGGACACAGTTCGTGTGCACAGGAACATTTTAAGACAATTTGTTAAGAAACGGGGGCTGCTGCAGGGGGACGGATAAGGTAACTGTGCTGTTACAGAATTAAATATGGCATATAGGCGCACCATATCGTAATTTTTAATTTATACCAGACTTTAGTAGATCTTCCCTTCCTAAGAATTAGCACCCTAAATTAGCTTTTTCTTCCACACTCAGGGCTTCATTTATCACCCATGTATCCCAATTTGGAGCTCTGGTGGAAAACTTCATATATGTTCATGGTAACTTCCATACTGCATGCTTCCTGTAAGTGAAGAAATATGTGTACTCGTATTGCTTGTTTCTTTTCAATTTATTTGGACTTCAGTAAATAAGAATAAGCTCCCTTTGCCCCCATTTCCCGGGTTCTGAAAAATAAATAGCAATGAGATAATAAAGATGTAAGACAGCTCTAAGTGTGAGTATAGCTTCCCAAAGTCGTGTGGCCTTTACAAATGAGAATTTTTTTGCATCATAAAATGGGCCACAGTCTTTTTCTTTGGTATATAATTTTGCTGTTAGAAGATGGAGAATGGAGAAGCAAAGTCAGAGAAGATAAGAGTTGGACATTATTTCATAACTTACATATGTGCATGTGTATATATATACATATATTTGTGTTTATATAGTTTTAATCTCTAAAATTTTTAGTTTATTTTTAGTATCTCCTTTACACTTGTTTTTAAAGCTATTATGATGAATTAGTAATTATATCATTCCTTATAAGTAACCTCTCACCCATACTCCTTTCTGTTCATAAACCCAATAAAAATCTTATTGATTCACTAAATTGAACATTAGCACAACTGATGCTTTGGTGTGTTGCAGGCTCCTTTTCTGGGCTGAGTGTCTGTGTGTGTTGCATCTCCCCCGGAAACTTCTGTTATGCAGCAAGGAGAGACACATTTTTTTCAGTGGTCCATCTTTTCATAACTTGTCCATGCTCCTGTAAGTAACACTAGTTAAACTTGTAAGGCCATCAAACTGGGGTTAGATGGAACCATTTCTTTGGTCTATTGTTGGTCCTCTAACTGGAGTGAAAGAATCTTTATCCCTTTCCCCAGGGGTCATTCATAAAACTAGCAGGCTTCAAAGTTGGTACTTATCATCAATGTCCTAAGCATCGTGGCTCTGACATCTCTTCCACAAATTATTTGCACTCACATTCTTTTAAAATCATGATGTCACTCCATCATTTAAAAACAGTATATATTACATTAGATTCTTAAGTATAACCTGCTCAGTCTGTCTAATGTTGCTCGTATGTACTATGTTTTCAGGGCAGATTATTTGGTATTGGATAACTAATTGGCATGTTCTTCCCTGGAGAAGATTACTTCTCCCATTCTCAACATTCCTTAGTGCTTGCAGTTCTATGTGTAGGGCTGATGCCCGATGGATTTTCTCTCATCTACTTTGGCATGTCTATTGACATTGTCCTTGTTCAGCTCATGCATTAGCAGTCATGTTGGAAAGATTTTTATGGAGGTAGCTTCTGATGTTATCAGGAGATACAATCACACAGAAAATTCCCAACTCCTCTGGCTTTTACATTTCCTCTCCCTTTTTTGCATTGTTCCTAGAGCCTTAGGTGAAGTATTGTTTTGTAGAGGTATCCATTGGGAATGGGCTCCACAATCTGCATTTTCACTACTTGTAGTATTTTATAGTGTTGTTTATAGCAAAGAGAAGTTTGCAGGGTGATGACTACCATACTTACCTGCTTTAAGGACAAATGTTTATAATGTTGCTAGGGATTATGCTGCTTTAGTAATGCAGTGGTTGTAGGTTCTCCTCCAAGATCCAAACTTTGCTAGAACTGAGTAGTTGGCTGGATTTTTCAGTACCATGCACGGTTTCTTTGTTGAGTGGGTCTTAAATACAATTAGAGATCTGTTGGTTACTGCTAAACTATGTGTGCTTTAGTAATGTAGTGGTTGTAGGTTCTCCTCCAAGATCCAAACTTTGCTAGAACTGAGTAGTTGGCTGAATTTTTCAGTACCATGCATGGTTTGTTTGTTGAGTGGGTCTTAAATACAATTTGAGATCTGTTGGTTACTACTAAGCTATGTGTGCCTCTACTACGCACTTAGGGTTATTGTGTTGTGTGGGTCATTGTTGTGATTCATAGGCATCATTGCTGGGTTATGTGGTTGATTGCTTCCCTCCTTTGGGAACTTTTGCAACTATTTCTGTCACCATGAAAGCTGGACCTCAGGGAGGAGGCTTTCCGATCCGTTCCTGCTCAGGACCTTTGGATCTTGCTTCTAAAGTGCATGATGTCTTGAGTAATAGGATCTTAACTTCCACCTCTGGGTGGCAACCAAGGGCAATAGCAATACCTCGAAAGTTTTGGGAGTCTCTTGGACAATCCCAACTAACAATTCAAAAGAAAGATTCTTATGTCTGGTGTTGGGGTTTTTATTATATAGTTTTGACTCTTGAAGGGAGCACTGTCAGTCCAGAGGAGAAAATTTTATTAAAATTTTAAACGATTATTTACACACAGATTTACATATATTATATGTTTTTTAGGTAGAGAGTTAGTATGATTTCCTGTGACTTTTCAGACATTCTGTCCTTTTACCCTTTTTTCTTTTTCTTCTGTATTTATCTTCCTGTCCCTCCCTAACTAAAGTACCCTTCCCCCCATTTCTTAGATCAAATTACTTGTACCCTACTATTCCTTTCTCTATTGTATCCCTCACTTCTCTGGGTCCCCTTTTTACTTTCCTGGCTTTGTAGTTACTCTAGGGTATGTAGCCACACCTGAAGATTTGCAGCTAGGTGCCACAGATGAAAGAGAACCTGTGACGTTTCTCTTTCTGGGTCTTAGTTACCTCACTCAATAATGATCTTTTCTAGTTCCATTCATGTCCTGAAAAGCTCACGATTTCACGTTTCTTCACAGTCGAATTGTTATTTCACAATATTTAAGTGCCACGTTTTTATAACCTGTTAGTCAACTGAGGAACACCAGGTTGTTTCCATTTTCTAGCTATGGTGAAGAAAACAGTAATGACCATGAGTGAGTGTGCATCAATGGAGTAGGTTGTTGACTCCTATGGCCACGTGCCAAGGAAGGAATCGAGTGGTTGATTTCTATTTAGTTTTTGAGAAATTGTCACCACCACTTCCCAGAGTGGCTAGACCAGTCGCCAGCCCCATCAACAGTAAATAACATTTAATTTTCCTCATGCCCACTCCAGCATTTTCAGCTGTTTTCCTGAGCTTTGCCATTCTGATTGGGTAAGTTGAAATCTCAAAGTTGCTCTGATTTACATTTCTGTATTTACCGGGGACAATAAACATTTCTATACAATTTTTCCTTCTTTTGAAAACTCTCTTGTACAGGTGTCAGGCCCATTTTTAATTCTTTGCTATTGAGTTCTTTATATATTCTGGATATTAATACTCTGTCAGATGTAATCTGGCCAAGATTATCTCCCATTCTATGGGCTTCCTCTTCACTCAATTGAACTTTTTTAGGTGTACAGAAACTTTTTATTTTTATGAAGCCCATTTGTCAATTGCTGGCTTCAATTTCCAAGTCTATATGGATTCACAGCATAATTCTAGGAGGCTTTTAAAGATCTGCACTGAATACCTTTTAAACTATTTTTAAAAAAAATAGAAAAAAAGGATTAATTCCAAACTCCTCTGAAGCAAGTATTACTCTAATACTAACTGAAAAAGAGGTAAAGACATAAGGAAGGAAAACTATTGGCTGATATCCTTAATTAACATAGTTTCACAAATCCTCAATAAAATAATTACAAGACAAACGTATGCATGTTACAAAAATATCATCCATCATGATCAAGTTGGATTTATTGTGGAGATGCATGGATTGTTCAACTTAAAGTCGATAAATATAATAAATCATAAGAATGGACCTACAGATAAAAATCACATAATCAAGCAATATATTCAGAAAAGACTGAGAAAAATTCAACTTGACTTCATGATAAAAGTTCTAGAGAAAGTAGGGCTAAAGGGAATCTAACTCAACATAATAAAGAATATCTAAAAAAAAACCTCATAGCTAACATCCTAAACGAATAAAAACTGGAAGAAGGATAATTAAAAGGATACAAGTAGAAAATGAGCAAGTGAAATTATCCCTATATGGATATGATATTAAATCACATATGAAAGATCCCAAAAATTTCCACCAAACACTTCTAGAAATGGCCAATAATTTTGTGGGGTAAAGGGAACACTTCTGCATTGCTGATGGGAATGCAAGTGGGTACAGTTCTTTTGGATGTCAGTGTGGCAATTTCTCAGAAAATTAGGAAACAAACTTCCTCAAGACCCAGTAATACCACTTTTGGACATATATCCAAAGGATGTTCAATCGTGCCACAAGGATATGTGCTCAACTATGCTCATAGCAGCATTGTTTGTTATAGCCAGAACCAGGAAACAACCTAAAAGCCTCTCAACTGAGGAATAGATTAGGAAAATGTGGTACATTTACACAATGGAGTACTACACAGCAGAAAAAAATAATGGCATCTTGAATTTTGCAGGAAAATAGATGGAGCTAGAAAACATCATTTTGAATGAGGTAACCCAGACACAAAAGACAATTATCACATGTACTCACTTATAGGTGGTTTTTAAACATGAAGCAAAGAAAATCAGCCTACAAATCACAATCCCAGAGAACTTAGACAACAATGAGGACACTAAGAGAGACATACATAGATCTAATCTACATGGAAAGTAGAAAAAAACAAGATCTCCTGAGTAAATTGAAAGCTTGGGGACCTTGGGGGAGGGATGAAGGGGAGGGAAGAGGCAGGGAGGGGAGCAGAGAAAAAATGTAGAGCTCCATAAAAATCAATAAAAAATTTAAAAAGAAAAAAAGAAAGTGCTAGAGTTGAGGGGTAACTCCAAGGAAACAGTGTTGTCCAAGCACAACAGTACCCATATACATATGAAATCATAGGGACTGTGGCAGCACACACAGTGGCAAGTCAGATGGTGTCTCATACCTGAGAGAGGAATACAGATGGGACATGGGGTCCTGTCTCTAACCAAGAAGTTGTCTGAAAATTGATATGCACTGGCAAAGGGAAAATCAATTTTGTTCAATAGAGTGTCATCAGGAGTATCATCTACATTACAGAAAGGATCTAGAAGGAGGTGAGGGAATGGTAACATGACAAAATATATTATATGGAAAAATAGAATGTGGGAAAAAATTTCTGAATAAAATTCTCTTTGCCCCCAAATTCAGGCCAACAGTTTAGAACAAATGCATTCTCATAATATGAAAACATTTCTCTTCAAATAAGTTGAAGATACTACCTACCTCTGTGTTCTTCCACTAGATGGTGTAGTTCATTTATTGAACTGGAAGCACGCTATGGCAGTAAATGCTCTTATGTGGCTATTGACAAAAGCACCTCCTGATTGCATAATAAAATGCATTACTTTCTATATTACTTTTGAATGTCAATTAAAAAGAATGCCAATTGTGAAGGTGTAACCAATAAAGTACATTTGCTCAGCTTCAGAGCTCTTCTCTAAGAGCCCATGCCTTAGAGGGACTCACATGGCTAAAGGTATAGAAACAAAATAGTACAGTAGGGTTTCAAAGGCCTAGGATAGCCACTTAGTTTTAAAAAGAAAAGGGTAAGAACTAGATGGTAAATGTTTCCCTTCCGTGGAGTATGATGGCAAAGCCTGCCTAGTTGCTCGGCCGAGAGAGATTTTGAGCCTCCCCCAGCTCAGCAGAGTGTGCTGTCATTGATTACCAGCAACGTATGTGGGCTCGAGAAGCGGAAGGTGTGACTATGATAGACAGTTGTCATCTAGGGGGTTAGTTGTTTCTCATAGAAACACGGTTGGCACTTTGGAGGGTCTTTTTTTTTCCAGTCAGGACAGGACATTGCAGGGCTTTAGATACTAAATACTAGTAGTGATTCTAAATGCGAGCAGCATCTCTTGACAAAGAGATAAAGAAAAATCAAGGGAGAGAGTGAGAATGAGGAAAAGGCATGGAGTTGGGAAAGTGGTAAAGTGAGAATCTGGGAGGAGTTGGGGGAGGAGGGCTAAAGGAGGGTGAAAACATTAAATTTATTGTATGAAATTTTTAATAAAACCAAGATCTAGTGTACTTTAAAAGCCTGTTATTAAGCCAGTATTTTACTCTAACATTATTGTGCTAGACAAAGAATGACTTAATATATGTGAGGATTTAATTTGAATCTCAAAGTCTTTAAGACTAAGGAAGAAAATGAAAAATCTCTAGATTCTAGGACTAAGCTGAGCTTTGTAGTCAGAAGATGGATGAGAATGGAGATGAGAATGAGAGACCAGCAGAGAAGATGCTCATGGTGGCAGAGTTAGGTAGAATCTGACAGTGTGGGTTGATAAGTCAATCATATTAGCAAAAGGGAAGTGGGGACCCCCACTGCGTGGAAAGCAGTGTTGCTTAAACATCAGTGCTCCTTGGGCTCCCTCACCCCACCTTAATTCTCCTCTGTCACACATATTCTTTGGCCAGGATGCTGTCTTTATTAGCAGTACTAAGCAGCTTTCTTTGATGCCCCAACTGCATTAACAATACTGACCACTTGGGTTTTGGAGAGCAAGGTAATTTATGAGTTAATAAAATGACAAATAAATATTCCTTTTTCATCAAGAGTTGGAGATAATCTATTTTCACAGTCTTTGTGACTCTGTAGATGTCCTTGAAGAAGAGTAGGAAGAATGTAAAGGGAAGAAGGAAGAGAAGAGAAAGAGGAAGAAAAAAAGAATTATGAAGGAGAAGAAGAAGGGAAGGAAGAAGGGGAGGAAGAGAGGAGAAGAGGAAGAAGAAGAGGAAAAGGAGAAGAAGAAGAAGAAAAATTCTTGTCCAACTTGAATTTGAATTGAGATCAAGTGCTACATTTGAAATGGCCTAATCTAAAGGCCACCAGAAACACACTAACAGTTGAACAAGTTTGTGTTACTACTCATCACAGTCTTCTTGGAGATGGCATAACTTGGAGAACATGCCTATAAGAAGGCATTAGAAAGGACCTGCTGTAGGAATTTGTATTGTTGAACTCATTTTGAGGAAGTTTTAAAAAAAGGAGGCTTTGTCTTGGATTAGGTAATCTCCTAACGTAGACACAATATTTCAACTGGATGTCCTCAGAAATCTTAATTAGAAGGAAGGATGATTGAGTCTAAGAAAAAATTCATAATTGGTGAAACTTCAGTCATTTTACTAGTCTTAATATATGGGTGTATCTAATATTCTGTGGCTTAGATAATGTGCCTGTTTTGCCAGTATTCAGACATGATTAACCAGTTATCCAGCCTTTGTTGTGATTCATCATAGGCACAAAACGACTTTGTCAGACATGAATGTTCTATGAACTATTCATCGTATAATAAGGCGTGGGTATAATAGGAGGCTAACCTGTGTTGCTTTCCTCTTTCTCACATTGTATAATATTGATAAATAATTATGTATTTTCTTGTTTCTTCCTGGAGAGTAAACTTCAGAAGTGCATGCATTTTTTTTTATTATTGACAACCAAGAACCTATCCAAATTTCTGATTCACATGAAAATATATTCTTGGAAAACGAGTTAGTTCATTAAACTATAAATTTTTCAGTCAGGGACAACTTTAAATTTCACGTTTTGTTTCTAGAATCAAACATAGTTTCCACTTGTCTCATTAATTTTATCTCAAGCCAAAGAGATTTCCATAAGATCAAATTTATTGATTTTTAAAGGTAATAATTATGAATTTTGCCTTATGAAGAAAAGATGATGGTTGATTCGAATGTCTCACTTATGCTGAATGTAGAATAATCAGGAAGTGGACTTCAAACATTTTCCACTGTATTGGATTCGAAGAGTGAAATTCAAAGATCTAAGGAAAAGTAATATAAATATTTATACACAATTTATATAAAATATAACCTTGCTTCTTCTTAGTCTAATTGTATAATAATTATAAGGGACTGGAGCCTTGATTTGTAAGTTCCCCAGTTACACATGGACCTGAGCTACAGAGATTTGCTTCTCCTCTCATTAAATATTTCTACCACACCCTCTGCCAATCCCTCTGTTTTGTAACCATAGTGAATAATTATAAGAGTTTTTAGCAAAGATAGAAGCCTGTGCCCTAAGAGGTAGAAGGAGGGGGGTATTGATAAGTTGATGTATCCTGGGAAAATATTTTCACTTCTCTGAATTATAATGATCAGATCTATAAAATTATGACAGTTTTGGCAACTTACTGACAAAGATGTGGGGGGACTCCGTGTGAAAATGCCGAGTAAACGGTGAATAATAATATCACCTCTCATGAGAAAAATAACATAATGGTCAATAAATAAAGCAGAGGAGCATGGGAAAATCAGTGAAAATGTTTGTCGACAGAATCATAATTGCAAGGGAAACCCAGTTACTACATCTTAGACTGAATTCCTCTCTGTGGGCTTTACATGCATATTTTATATAAAAGTGGCTTAGCCTTTTGAAAGATAAAAATACCCACATAAAACCCACTTGAAATGATGAAAACACCCATCTTCTATAAATACACTCAGTATAAACTTGGGCAAGAATATTTACTTTGGAGTCTCTTTTTATATATGAAAGGGAATGATTCCCTCATACCTACCTACCCTACTACATGTTAATGTTATGAATATTATAAGGACCCTGCTTTGGGAAATTATTTGCTCATAATAGTAGGTTTGTGTTCATATTATTTGACACAATGGTCTGAGGGTAATAACATCTTATTTGATGTCCACTTTTCTTTCTCTACACCTAGCCCCAGTCTCTGGAATTCACCAGGTGCTTGTTAAATACTCACATGTAAATGACAGTTACAAGGAAGTTTTTCAGCTCACAGGGTAAGACTTAGGGCTTTATAAGTCCCTAAGCTATAGCTCCAGTCCAAGAAACTGTTTTTGTAAAATTCTAGACTTCTGTACAGATATGAAATTCCAATCTTGAGTAAATAAAATGGGAAGCTAAACCTGTTTCTTGTATGGATAAAAATTGTTTATTTCTAGGTCGGACAAGCCACAAGTCTCATTAAGTTTGCTTTTTATATGTAAAATGAGAAATAGGTATTTTTATGTCTACTTTGTAAGACTGTTTTGAATAGTGAAGAAGATAATTCCCAATTCCTAAGTGGAAGCAAGCACAGTATCTGGTATGTAATACATTCTAAGTTAAAATTGTATATAATAATAAGTCTTACATAGATTACAATCATGTTTTCTTTTAAAACTTTTTATTTGCTTCTGTGCAATTCATATATTGTTAAAGTTACTATATATGTATCATATGGTAGTTTCCTTTTAAAGTTACTGTGTCATAATTGGTTTTTAGAAAACATGATGTTAAATACATAATAAGATTTAAAAAATTATGTTGATATATGTGGGGCTCTGGGTATAATTTATTGATAGAGTTATTGCCAGCATGTGTAAGTGGTGAGTTCAATCCCAAACACTAAAAGTAAAATTAAATAAATACAAAGAAGTAATGAATCTTTAGGCAAAGCATAACGTCAAAGACTTTGGGCACAGTGTTAAGGAGAAGCACTGCTGGGGCTTGAACAAGGAGGGAGCACACATGTGATGAGGGTGAAAGTGTCTCTGTCCTCTCACTTTATCACACACATGACCTGAACAAGGAGGGAGCACACATGTGATGAGGGTGAAAGTGTCTCTGTCCTCTCACCTTATCGCACATATGACCTGGGCTTACGTTTTCAATTACTACAAAATCTGAGAAGAGAAAAACCGAAGGCTTAAAGGAGCTAACTTTGAGAGTGTGAGTCAGACAACTGTAATGTAGGAACTCCTCTGAAATGGTGCAGGAGACATAGAATGAATTTTACACTGGCCTGGGAGAGCAAGAGAAGAGCAGGAGAACAAAGGTGTACTAAATACCAAGGCACACCATATGCAAAGGTTCTTAAGTGGTAGCACCACCAGCATGGCCAAAGATGCACATTTATTTGAGAAAAACCACACTTTGTAGTCTCATTATTGTATTAAGAAATGCTAAGAACTCTTTCTAAAACAGTTTGGGATATATTTGCCAGTAAAGGGCTTTGGAGCACTGATATTCAAACCCTTCTCATGTGTACCAACACTGCTGCATTAAAATAACCAATTATTTCTCAGGGAATACTAATTATAAATGCACAGTAAATTTTGGGTACTTCAATGATATTTAAATTTGCCTAGTATTTACTCTCAGAGCTATGATATTGGCATCTGTGAATTATTCTCTGAAAACATCTCTACTGCTTCTTAAGCACAGGGTGCAAACTAGCCTACTAATCTAAAACAGCAACATGAAGAATCGTTCTTCCCATTCCAAACATAGAGAAGAAACCATAGTAATCAAGGCAGTGAAGTATTGAGATAAAGGGCATATACACTGGTAGGACTGACAGTTCAGAAATGGAATATTTATAGTCAAACAATTTTGAATAAAACTGCTAAGACAATTCAATGAGCGAAAGAATTGGTTTTTTTTTTCACAATGTTTCTGGGACAACTGGATGTTCATGTACAAAACAATGAAGCTGAATTCTCTTACTATCAACATCACACAAAACCCAAATAGACTGCATAGAAAAATGGCGTTGTGGCGGGAGAATGAGTGCAACTGAAAACAATTTATATTAAGTAAATGAAGTCAATCTCAGGCAAATGCTATATGCTTTTTCTAAATTATGGTTTGTAATCTTACATATGCACATCAAGTCCTGTATATATGCTCATGTGCATATTTATCTAAACATACATGGCATGGAAATAAAAGTGAAATATTTAGGGTACAAAGGGTCAGAAAAGGGAAGTGGAGAAAGTGATGAAGAATAGGCTCAATATTTAAAATATTTAATATATATGTGTGTTCAAAGCTTTAAGAACATTTAAATATTCCAACCTTATAATGCCTAGCATATTCAATCCTCATAACCATAAGAAAAACAAAAACAGAGATGGGACCTTTCTTTGAGGTAGAAATAGACAATAACCTTGAAGAAATAGAAGTAAGTTACAACTCTCCAACCTTTATTCTAGGTAGAACAATTTAGAGCAAAGTGAAACTCTCTGACCTTCAGAGAAGGTAGAAATAGACTCACATTTATGGGCCTCCACAATTAATAAATGTACTCTGAAAATAAAAAGGGGGTATATAAAAGTAGGATAAAAAGGTGAGGCTTGAGACAGCGAACTACACAGGAGAAGGACTGAGTCAGCGACCTAGGCCAGACCAGGCCTGAGGCAGAGAACAGATCCAGACCAGGGACAGTTGTGGAGGCGGACTGAGCCAGTGACCTGGGCTGGATTAGATCCGAACTTCCCAGGAGCAGGTACAGGGGAGCAGATGCTGAGTGAGTGGGCCAGAAACACAGTCCTCTGTGGGTCAGGACAAGAATCTGGGACCTTTGAGAAAATAAACCTGAGTCAGGAAGCCTACAGGTTCACCGTGAGTCTGGGACCGCCAAGGAACTAGGCCTGAGCCAGGTCCTCTGTGGTCTGGGAACACCTGAGTCTGGGACCTCCCAGGAAGTAGATCAGAGCCAGAGACCTTTGCAGGAACAACCCTAAAACAGGGAACTCCACAGGAGCAGATTCAGAACAGGGACTTTAACCAAAACAGGTCTAAGCCAGCAACCTAGGGCAGAATAAGTCTGAGAAAGCAAGCTTCAGGAGAGGGAGTTAGACACTTTTATCTTATGTTTCATCCCGAACATAGGATGAAAGTGGGGGGTCTAAAACTAAGTTTGAGAAAAGAATAGTCATGCAGTTAGTTTCTTCCAAGGAATTCCTATCCATGTCATGGGATTATCCTGAAAACCTCGGAAATGAAGCCTCATGATCGTCTCGAAGACACCATTGTACTGTTGGGGAAAACTGTAGAACATGCTAACTGGCCTGAAGGAGTCAGCTAAGGCGGGAAAAGCAATAGCAGTCCTGAGTGTGAAGACAAGCTGAGGGTCACCGTCCTTTGTCAGAGCATCATATCCCAGGAAAACCCCTAGTCCCAGGAAAATCAGGATGGCTGTGTCTCCAGTTAGTAGCAACTGCAAGTCATGTAGGCTATTATTTACTAAGACCCATAACCCTAAGCCTTCTTTAGGTATTATCTTTTCAATTGACATAACTAATCTTTGGAGGATAATTATGTGATTAAGCTATCTTAAACCGCATTGTTAAGCATGCATTGAGATCAGAACCCATGTTTCTCATATTAGAGTCTTTACTTCTAAAAATGTGCCTTGAGACACTGAAGCAAAATATCAAGTGATAATATTTTTTTTAAATGCTGGAAAGGGTGCTTTAAATTTTGAAGCAAACTTTATATCTATTGTTATAATCACTCATGTATTCTTAGTTTGTTAAACAAACACTTATTAGTGGCATAATTTATAAATCACTATATAAAACCTAACGATAGATTTTTTACTTTATGATATGTATATATGGCAACAGATTAGAAATATAAACAGAAAATTAAAATAATTGGGGACTACATGCATGATGAAAGAAAGGCAAGATCTAATATGGAAAACACCAGAGGTGAAATGTACCTATGTTCAGGGAGGACTCTTTTTCTCTGAGAAGGTAGATTTACCACTAAAAATGAGATCAATTTGGGTTGACACACGAATGATGAAGAAGCAATGGCCCTGGGAAAGTCTGAGGAAATATTCTTGGAGAGGAGGAAACTTTGTCTAAAGTTTTAGAGGCAGAAACAGGTTCTGTGCATTTGAAAGTAACTGGAAAGAAGAGTTAGTGTGGTTGGAGCCCACGGAGTGGGTGACATAAAAACAAATGAATGCTAGACTTGCAGGTTAGAATCTGAGGTTGGAATAATTATGAGACACAGGGACAGGACTCAACCTAGAGCCTTCTGGCCTTAAATACTGAGGCTTCATGCTTTGGTCTGATCTTATCAAGGGTGATTTTTTTTTCAAACATTTTCTAAGATATGTTTTGGCATCCATTTTCCTAGTAAAGCCATTATTCAAAGCATATTCAGAAAAGCTTCTCTTATAAATGGAGGTGGAGCTCAGGAACCCACTTCTCCCCCCTCCATCACCCACAACTCTCAAGTTCAGCCAGTGACCTACCAATTTTTAGTTTATAGAATCATATTGAAAGTAATTGATACACATTTTTCAAAATTGCAAGTCCCGGTGAGCTGTTACGCATCAGGTACACAGTAGGCTCTCCAAGGGGTTCTGAGTTGGATGTCATTTTAACTTACATCCTGGCGAAGCAGTACACGCAGGAGTTAGGATATGTAACATTATTAGTTGCGCATAGTGGGCTGACCCTTATGGAGCATATGTGTTTCTTCTGCACAAACTTCTTCTGATAATGACTGCACGAAATGACCTAAAACAAAACTCACAGGTTAAACGTATTGTCCTCCAATGATGTGTTAATGGCTTCTAACAAAGTATTGGCGCAATGGTAAAATGTCTCCCTTTTAAACCTCAACTATCAAAATTATACTTTGATAAACTCAGCAAGCAGTGCCTTTGTGATTGTGATTAACATTTTACAATGTAACTGAGGCTATGAAGCCGAGATCCTTGACTATGCTGCAAAAGGGAAGAGAACCATTTGGGAAAGATAACAAGAAGGACTGAGCATCCTATAGTTGTTGTGGCAGTGGTTTTATTTCTTCAGAGTCATATTTTAGCTGTGATGTCTGGAACAGAACGCAATATTTGTTCTTCTCCCAGATGCTGGCTGTAGTTCAGGCCTCTGGGAATTAGGATTCTGGACTGGAAAGGGAAGGAGTTGGGATGGTCATATCATTCTAATGTTTATCTATTATTTTGTTTTACTTAGCAGCATAAAGCCTTCCCTGGGGTATTGTGAATATTAGAATACACAGGAAGAAGGGAGGCTGGGAAGTCAGAATATTGTGCAGCACAATCATCAGGCAGGTGCTCCCACACTGCCCACCTCTCTCTCCAGCGGATGTCCAGATCACAGGACAGTCACATGTACCACAGAACACTAGGTTTTTTGGTGCCGTGAAAGCCTAGGAACCTCCCACTACAGAGCTGTTTCCAAAGCTTCGGTCACTTCATCTATGATTACTCCCAAGTTCGTGTGATACGTTCTTTAAAATATTTTTCTTTAAAGTAGCAATTTTTGAACTTTGCAAACAACTATACATTTGTCTTAAGCAGGATTGTCAATAATGAATTTGAAGTTATAGTACATTTTTCTAAAACTTTAAAGAATGGCAGTAATTTTTGAAATAAGAGATTTATTATAATGTTAAGTCAAATAATGACACTACTCAACTTCTCTGAGGAAAATACTGTTTCTATATTCTTTCTCAGTGATTAAGTCAGAATGGTATGTTTAATAGATTCTACCAAGAATTGATGCTTTAGTAGGACATTCAAACATGCAAACGTGACATCTAATGTTGGATATGGACATAAGAAAAATCATTTTTAAAGGTTTATTTTTACCCTATGCATATGAGTGCTTTGCTTACATGTATATATGTGCACTGTGAGCATGTTTAATACCCTTGGTGACCAGAAAAGTGTGGTCAAGCCCCCAAAACTGGAGTTAAGAATGAATGATTGTGAGCCACCATGTGGATGCTATGAAATGAACCTGGTCCTCTGGAAGAGCAGCCAGTACTCTTAACCGCTGAGCTTCTCTTTGGCCTCCACAAGAATGTTTAATTTGAGAGAAGTGTGGTGATTTTTGTTTGTGCTTTAACAAATAAAGCTTACCTGAAGATCAGAGTGCAGAGCTAGCCACACTAGTTAAACATAGAGACCAGACAGTGGTGGCACACACCTTTAATCCCAGCACTCAGGAGACAGAGGCAGACAGATCTCTGTAAATTCAAGGTCACCCTGGGCTACAGGAGATTAAATCAGTCTAAAAGGGAAATGGAGCCAAGCAGTGGTGTCTCACACCTTTAGTCCCAGCACTAGGCAGGTGGAGAAGGGAAGTGATATGTCTGGGCGGAGAGAAGGATATAGAGTGGGAGGAGACAGGAGCTCAGGATTCAGTCTGAGGTTTGGTAGAGACAGGATCACCCATTCTGTCTGCCAATTCAGTAGAGACCAATTAGAATTGATGTTACATTGTCATAAAGACAGGGTCTTGCCTATTCAGTCTGAGCTTTCAGAGAGGTAAAAACTCTAGATGCTGACTGCTCTGCTACTCTGGTCTTTCAACTTTCACCCCCTAATATCTGACTTCAGGGTTTTATTTATTAGAGTTCATGTTATAGAGAAGTATATGTATTTTTGAATAAACTTATAAAACAATGTTTTATTGTGGTTTGGGGAAAGGGAGAGTGATTTGAATATATTACTTACGTGTTCAATTTCCCCAAAATTTAAAAATCAGATAAAGTTATATACTCAGTAACACAAACTGAAATAGCTTCACAATAACACAAACAAAATGACCCCAAATACTATTAACTACTAGAATTTAGAAAAAATATCTAGGGTGTCTTTTAGGGAGAAGAAAAGGCCGGTGAAGCCTGAAGAACTTCATCTTAGCAACACTAGGAGCCACTGCTTTAAGTAGACACTTCACTTAGGTTTATATTGCATAGATTCAATTCTCATGACTAAAGCGGAGGTTGGCAAATATTTTCTCTTCAGAGATAAGTGGTAAATAAATAGTTCATGATTTTTCTGCCATTTGGATTCTGGTGCAAATACAACTTTGTAGTGAACTGAAAAGAACCACAGCTACAAAGGGAGAAGTAGAAAGGAGCACACTTTGGTTCCAAGAAAACTGTTTTCTAAAACAGGTGACCGTGGTATGCCAGTGATTGAAGCAGGTTAACTGTAAGGGAGTTGGTGGAGAGAGACAGAGTAAATGAAACACTAGGGAGGGAACAAGTCAAAACTTCCTTTGCCAGCGGTAAAAAGGGCATGAGAGTGTTCAGTCCCCAGAATTGATTTTGACAGTGATACAGTCTCACTTCTGTAATTTTACTTTCACTCTTACTCCATGGCTGGCTGGTGGGCTGGCTGGGTGGCTGGGTAGCTGGCTGGGTGGCTGGTGGGTTGGCTGAGTGGCTGGGTGGCTGGGTGGCTGGATGGCTGGGTGGCTGGGTGGCTGGGTGGCTGGGTGGCTGGGTAGCTGGATGACTGCCCCCTGGAATCTTCCTCCTCTTGTTCTCCCTTGCTCCTTCTTTTGCCAGATCTCTCCTATTAATCTCTCTGCTTGCCAGCCCTGCCTGTCTTTTCCCCTGCCTTGCTATTGGCCATTCAGTTCTTTATTAGACTATCAGGTGATTTAGACAGGCACAATAACACAGCTTCACAGAGTTAAACAAATGCAACACAAACAAAAGCAACACATCTTTCCATCACTAAACAAATTCTCCACAGCATAAACAAAAGCAACACACCTTAAAATAAAATTCTCAATCAATACTGTATCTGAATCATATGAAACTGACATCATAAGATTGAAAATTGTCAGATTTTTTTCTAGTTCTATCCATTTGACTGCAAATTTCATGTCATCATTGTTTTATACAGCTGAGTAATACTCCATTGTGTAAATGTACCACATTTCCTCTCCAATCATCCATCGAGGGACATCTAGTGCTATAAGATAATGCTTTTATATATTGTAATATTTGTCACTCATATTGGTTTGTTAAAATGCTGATTGGCTAGTAGCCAGGCAGGAAGTATAGATGGGGCCACCGGATGAGGAGAATTCTGGGAAGAGAAAGACAGAGATGAAGTCACCAGCCAGACACAGAGGAAGCGAGATGAAAATGCATCACTGAGAAAAGGTATCAAGCCATGTGATTAAGCATAGACAAGAATTATGGGTTAATTTAAGGTGTAAGATTTATTTAATAATGCACCTGAGCTAATAAGTCAAATGGTTTCTAATTAATAGAAATCTTTGTGTGTAAAATTGGGACCGAATGGCTGTGGGACTAGGCAGATCAGAAACTTCTGTTTACAATCTAGATAGCTTCCAGGTTCTGCTATTATGAATAATGCTGCTATGAACATAGAACAAGTGTCCTTGTGGTATGATTGAGCATTCTTTGGGTATTTGCCCAAGAATGGTAGTGCTGGATCTCGAGGCAGACTGATGGCCAGTTTTCTGAGAAACTGCCAAACTGATTTCCAAAGTGGTTGTGTAAGTTTGCATGCCCACCAGCAGTGGAGGAGCCTTCCCTTTATTCCACATCCTCTTCAACATAGGCTGTCATCAGTGTTTGGATCTTAGCCATTCTAACAGGTATAAGATTTCAATGTATTTCAGTATTGTTTTGTTTTGTGTTTTCCTGATGACTAAAGATGTTGAGCAATTCCTTAAATGATTTTTGACCATTTGAGATTCTTCTGTTGAGAATTCTCGGTTTAGAACTGTATCCCATCTTTTAATTGGGTTATTTAGTATTTTGATGTCTAGTTTCTTGAGTTCTTTATATATTTTGGAGATTATCCCTCTGTCAGATGTGGGGTTGGTGAAGATTTTTTTCCCATTCTGTAGGTGGTCGTTTAGTCTTATTTATTATTTCTTTTGTCTTACAGAAGCTTTTTAGTTTCAGGGGGTCCCATTTATTGATTGTTGCTCTCAGTGGCTATGTTACTGGGGTTATATTTAGGAAGTGGTCTCCTATGCCAATACATTCAAGGCTACTTCCCACTTTCTCTTCTGTCAGGCTTGGTGTACCTGGATTTATGTTGAGGTCTTTGATCCACTTGGACTTGAGTTTTGTGCATGGAGATAGATATGGACCTATTTGCATACACGTTGCTATTTTTATTATGTTGTTCCTACCTCTCCAACAGCATGGGAGATCTTTCCATTTTCTGATATCTTCTTCAATTTCTTTCTTTAAAGACTTAAAGTTCCTGTCATACAATTCATTCACTTCTTTGGTTACCTCTAAATATTTTATATTATTTGTGGCTATTGTAAAAGATGATGTTTCTCTAATTTCTTTCTTGACCCTTTTATCATTTGTATATAGGAGGACTATGTCATCATAGAACCTTTATCCAGAAACTGATGGAAACAGATGCAGTGATTCACATCCAAGCACCAGACCGAGCTACAGGAGTCCAGTTGAGAGAGGAAGGAGGTTTTACATGAACAAGGGAGAGGGTCAAGATCATGAAGGGGAAGTACACAAAGATCCAAACTTGTGGGAGTTTATGGAGTCTAAACTGACAGCTGGGGAACCTGCATGGGACCTAAAGGCCTTCTGCATGTGGGTGACGGTTTTATAGCCTTGTCTGTTTGTGGGACCCCTGGCACTAGGACCAGAATCTGTCCTTGGTGCATGAGCTAACTTTCTGAAGCCCATTCCATATATGGTGGGATGCCTTGCTCAGCCTTGGTGTGTGTGTGTGTGTGTGTGTGTGTGTGTGTGTGTGTAGGGAACTTGGTCATGCCTCAACTGAATGAACCAGGTACTGTTGACTCCCCGTGGGGGAAGTATTACCCTTTCTGAGGAGTGGATGGGGTGGATGCGGGGAGGTGAAAAAAATGGAAGGAAGGAAGGGAGGGAGGAGGAACCGTGGTTGTTATGTAAAATAAATAAAAAATAAACAAAATAGAAAATGGCCAGATGCTAACTATTTCATGTGGTTTAAAATAAAAGAAACACAAGAGTGGAAAATTACTCTTATACAGAGGTGAACTTACCTTAAAGGATGAGTCACTAATAACATCTGTAATAAAAATGTTAAAATATCCAGTAAAACAATGAGGTGTTGAAACGTGTACCTCATTAAGTCACATAAATATTGACCTGACCATAGGACTAAGAAAATTGTCTCCTTAACAAAGTTCTGAAACATGTCTGATCCCCAAATTTGTTTCCTTTCTCTCTTCTTGTTCAAGACCCTTTCAGGGTGGAGAGATGGTTCAGCAGTTAAGAGCATTTGCTGCTCTCACAGAAGACATGGGTTTGATTTCCAGCATCTGTATTTCCAGTTCCAAGGGATCTGATACCCTCTTTTGGCCTTCTTGGGCACCAGATACAGACATATATACAGCAAAACACTCATATATATAAAATAATAGACCTTTTAAAAGAGCCTTAATATTTTGTCTGAAAACTTAACCTTGACCTATGCCTAGATTTAGTGCTGATCTTAAGCAGCAGGGACAGAACCCCAAGCTTCATCATCAGGGACTCAGCAATGTCATATGCTACTGGAACCCACAGATTGAGTAGATTTGTTTCAGAGAAAGGACCAGTTCTTCATATCATCCTAGCTGTTTGCTGATAGACACTGTAGACACCATCTTCACTAGTTATTTCTGTCTCTAATAAAATCTCTCTCTCTCTCTCTCTCTCTCTCTCTCTCTCTCTCTCTCTCTCTCCTACCTGTTAAATAGGAAGCCTCTTTTTGTGGAAGTTATATGTCAATGGTTGCCCACATTGTGAATACTTCTTTTACCTTTGTATTTTACGTTCTACTTCACAACCTTGGTTTCTTTCAAGCAATGCTTAAGAACTATTCCTTCACCTCTTCCCAAACTCTACCATTGATTGGCAAATGACACCATCTGCTTCTGCTCTTATCAGGGCCATGCTGAGCCATCCAGGGACTTGGCATCTGTAGTCCTTATATATAGTAAGCTATTTCCAAAACTGATGCTGCTTTGTTTAGACTGCTTTGTGCATGCACATCGGACACACACACACACACACACATACACACACACACACACACACACACACACACACACACACACGTAGGAGCCAAGAGGGAAAGAACTAGAAAGAGGAAGAAGAGTGAAACAAACACTGATAGTCAACACAAAAGACCAAATTATCTCTCATCTATGGATTGCAGTCCTCACAGATCGCTGCTTAAAATCCAGTCTAAAACTGCCTGTGGTAGATTTCTTGGAATATTAAAACAAAACCAAAAAACAAAAATGGAGTCAACCACTCATATTCATTCTGGTTAAGATATTAAATTTTTCATCTATGAGAAAAGACTCAGGTTTCCAAACATTTCTACATCTAAACAGGAGTACTTATTTATTTGCTCTCCCACCCTGGAATATTATATTAAATGCTCATTCTTCCCATGACATTCTTTGAGAGATCCTTACATGAGAAATAGCTGGTAGCTAAGAAAGCCAGGAGGAATGCTTTTGACTTTTCCATAGGAATCACTGCGGTTCATCTGCCCAGATTCCTTCAGCCCAGAGTTTCTTAGCAAACCCTTTGAGGTTGAGTTCTGTTACAAAACCAGTGGTGATGGCCCCCCTGTGAGAACCTCAGTCCTTATTATGATGTCACTCTGCAAGTGTTCTATTTCCATGTGACACAAAAGCAAAAGTCATTACGTTATCAAGCATCAAGAAGACTTCTAAGAGAAAATGTTAGCGTTCTTGTTAATGGACTGTAGAGTGATGCATTGTTATTCTGTTCATTTTTTGTCATTTGATTGCACAGAAGTACATTATGCTTTTTTTTATAAGGAAGAAACCAAGACATTAAACACTAACTGAGAACGAGTAGCTCTGGGGATGCTTTTCTGTAAGGCTTACATATTTGCTTTTATTCCCTCTTCTCTCAGCCTTAAGATTCTGATTTAGTGTATCCAGAATGAAGAACTAATAGAATAGGGATGGGCAATTTTAAACTAGAGTGTTGGGGACCCTTCCCCAACTTCCTCGGTTATGGATGACCCTGGGTAGTGCTGCAGAAATCAGGACACAGGGGATGCAGAGTAGGAGATCCAACTGCATACTTTATTGCAAAGCCAGTCCTCTTTTTATAATACTCAAATCACGACTCAAACTAGGTTCCCATAATACATTAAAATAGTTTCATAGACTAGTCACGTGGTTGCAACTAATTTCAAGAGCTTCATGCCCTAGCTGATCTAAACAAAAAGCTCGGTGTTAGGGGAATAACTCTTTTTGCAATATAATATGTAAAAACACCTCATCAGAAGACAAACCACAACCTAATCAGAGCCTTTGAACTACAGTGCACATCTGTGTTCTCAAAGACTGACCATTGGCAAGGCACTCTACTGATGGGAGAGGGTTGCCTCCTCCCAACTTGGTTTGCCAAGCCTATCAGCAAGAATGCTACCTCAGGTCTCCCTTGCACAGAGTTTCTATGCAGTTCAAAACCGGCCCTCTACACTAGAGGGTTATCCCTTTCTCTCTCATTCCTTAAAGACAATTGTTATTTTTGTTACCCCTTACCATACCCATTCCTAACTCTCTGCACATATCCACATTTAACATAGGACATTTAGATAAATGGAGCCCTGGCCATGGAAACTCAAGAGCATTACATGATATTTCTATTATTATGTCTGGATTCAAAGAACACGCACACACACACACACACACACACACACACACACACACACACAATCGATGATTCTATAGTCAATAGAGGGTTTAACACGGCATATCGAATGAAGCTTGGTTTGGATCTTTACCAAAATGACACCATGAGAAAAATCAAGCCTACCTTTTAAGAAAGCAAGTTCTTAAAAAACTAAGACTGTTCTCAGATTTCCTAGGAACATGAAGTCATGAGTACTGTGGCCTGCTTGGTCAAAGGGAACTATCTTGGAACAGATGGTTCTTTCTATAGTGCAATAGAGTTAAAGGAGGAATGAGGTCAAGCACCTTAGCTGTCCTCTCTGTGACTGGCAGTTTTAACAGGCTAAGTTCTACCCCCTTTCAGAACCTCAGTTTTCCACTTGTGAAGTAAGCTGCCAGTCTTGCGGACTTTGAAAGTCATTCCCAGATTCGGAGGCACAATGTACAAATCACTTTGGGACATAAATTAGGACAAATCCCTTCAGACCATATTTGTGATACCTTGTTAAGTTCTGGATTCTCCACTTAGAGTGGGACTTTGTGGGCTGCCAATATGGCCAATAGTCTGGGTACTAAGTCACAACTGGTAGAACAACTCCGGTGACTTGCTAAGGAAGTGCAGATTCAGAAAGACACTAGAAGATCTTTGAATGCCTTGTGGCTTTCGATGAGAATACGGTGTTCACTTGTTCAATTTGGGAGTGAAAATAGAAGGAATGGTAGCTGACGTTCACATTTTGTCTCCTTATAACTGGTAGTGTCTTCATTCTCTGGCTGAGAGAACTAGTGCTAAAAACAAATAAGAAACTCCCTTGAAGTTCCTGACAGAGAAGGTAGCAGCAGCCGTATTCAAATCCAGAACTCAGGGGTGTAACCAGTCCATTATCTAGTCCTTGGAACTAACATCAAAGTACAGAGGGATTGGGAAACATCCTACTGTATTGCATCATGTGCTTCTTTCTAGCCTCAAGCCTGGCACTTTGGGCGTAAGCTCGGGTTGCTCGAAAGATGATGTGAACAAATAATTTTTCCGAATACTCATGATTCCTAACAATAAGCGGGCTGAACTGTGGGGACCTGAATTCCTTATTTTAGAGGCAATTGAGTTAAAAATCAAAGGTTTAATCATAATCTCTTAGAGGTACTGATTCAGCCTTCTCTTTGAAATGCAAGCAGAAGAAGAAATTTCTGTCTCTAATGCTATAATCTTGTGGCTTTATGATTTCTGTCCTATCCCTCCCATCCACCCTCCCTTCCTTCTCTCCCTCCCTGCCACCTTTCTTCCTTTCTTTCCTTTCCCTTTTTTCTTCCTTCTTTCTCTCTCTTCTTTCTTCCCCCCTCTTTCCTTCTTTCCTTTCTTCCTTCCTTCTTTCCTTTCTTCTTCTTCTTCTTCTTCTTCTTCTTCTTCTTCTTCTTCTTCTT